GAATGCTCGACATTCCACACGGATCGAGGGTCTGCCTTATTTTAACTACATAGACGCCCTTTTACAAATCTTCGTTCGCCTAAATGATCGCACAAAAAGTTCCACACTGGCACTCGAAAACCCCATGTACTTGGATGTTGAGGTCGCTTATTTTACAGCTGAACTAGAATTCTAAGTTGATTGAAATGTTTTGGAGCATAACAAGGAGGGGCGAACGGTTGCCAACATCAACGACGTCATGCTCTTCAGCCGATAGGGAGAAATGTACCTACAGCGTGCGCTTCAGCTGTCGCGGGATAAACAGGTGCAGAACAAGGTACGCAACTGCTTCATTTATAAGACACTTGTGCTTCTGGGGCTGCGTTTTTCGGTTGCAGGTATCAAGCTAGATCCCGCAAGAATTAGAAATATCAAGGCGGTACCTTTGCCACTGTGCACCAGCAAGAAGATTGCAAAGTTCTGTCGGTTTGTATCTTATCACCCGAATTCATTTTGAGTAAGCACAGGTCACTGCTCATTTGACTAACCAACTTTGGAAGATTTAGTCTATGACTGGGACAGAGGAGGCCGATGCCACAGCAAGGTCGCTTATCGGCCGCCTTCCAGTTCCTGTAGGACTCGCCCTATGATATCCAGCAAGCTAGTTGGAGGCCTTCCTCGTACACAATAGTAGGGAGGTGTGTGCATTACACCAGCACACACGCTCATACCTCAAGCCTAGACAGTACTGTTGTGTTGAACGAGCCACGGGGTGCCAACTGAATCTCTGCAGTAGTGAGCCATGAGGCGGCAGCCAGCGAATGCTTACTAGGCGCACGCATTAATCAGAAAATCTGTTGTTGAACCTCAGCCGCATTTAAGGAGGATGCATGGAATTTGACTTCAGTGAGGGAACTCTTTGCCTCGGGCTGGTAAACTTTATAAGCGAGATACTTCAAAATAGTGCTGGTGTTGTAGTATGCGTGGCAAGCTATAACAAAAGAATGACCTTGGGATGATTTAGAATAAATTTGTAACTGGCAAAACATGATTCTAGTCATAGTCCGGCACACGGATCATATTCTTCCCATGCTCCAGTGTATACCACACTCAATGCACAGTTGTAAGGTCTATTTTTTCCTGATAACCAAGGCTAGTAACGCAGCTGTAGGTGCTGTTCCAATCCAGCGGGCTACGAGCTCACCAGACAACAAATTATGTCTTGATACTTGTAAAACTGCACACAAAAAAGCAGCGGCTTTCTATGCGGGAAACGGAGCTCTACGCGGTGATGGGGGTGACCAACCAACCATCAGGAACTAAAGTACCTTTCAAAGAGTGCTAAGGACTTTCATACTCCTAGAGTGATTCACTCGAAAGGGCGCCTTCTGTAGTACAACACTGCAGTACCGTGTATTAAACCGATCTCCAACGTAGTTACCAACGCGCTCCCTAAACACCTAGATGATTCACTGCTGCGCAGCGCAACTAAGCGTATCGGCGATGATCCAACGGTTTACATCAAAATAGCCAGGGTCTTTTGATTGCGGACCTGATGCAACCGCTTCCACCAAACACAGAGGCAAAAGCGTGAAGCACTACAACGTAAAGGATGATCTGCTGTAGTTCAAAATTACGGCGAGACTGACTTCGCCGTTTGTACTTTCCAACCTCGCACCGGCATGCGATTTTGCGGGAAGTAGCTGACATTGTTCTTTCAGGCCATGATGGAACTCATGTTACAATGGAAACGCTTTCATGACTCTCTTAGTGGCCTGGGGTGCTTCCCGTGGCAGATTAGTATATTCCTCCACGCTCAGATTGCCAATAATTTTCCGAAAACCAGACTTTTAAACGGCTGTTTGGTTCCTGAAAGGAGTTGAAATGGTTTTGGTGTGAAGCTTGTTGTTTGACCGCCGGAGGTCAATCAACAAACTTCACGCCGAAATCATTGTCAACAAAGTCAGCAAATATACCCTTTCCGTCCCTTGCTCACGCCTTTTCATCGCAAAAGAAGCTGCTTCATCATTCTTACATTAAAACTGTAGCTCGACAGACTCCCCAAAGCCATGATTACAGACAATAATTCGACTTTTGTTAGTGAGTTATGTAATACCTTTACAACCCGCGTACAGATCGGCCATAATATGACCACTGCTAACTGCACTGACGCACATGCACATACCGCACACGCCAGTAGCATGCTTCTGCAGCACGTGTGAGTCTATGCCCACGAAAATTCAATTGTTTTGCTTTAATTTCTTGTTCATACTGAATTGTGTAACAATATAAATATTCACGTGCCTACTGGTTCCTCACCCGCATCCCTGGTGTCCTATAAGGAGCCCATCTCCGATACAAACGTGGGGTTGGTCCAGGGTCAGCCAGCCGTAGCAGCGGAGACCTTCAGAAAACTGGTGGCCAACGCATGGAAAAGCCTTCCAAAATGGCAGGCACGAGTACATGGTAAGCGGCGGGCCGTCTGTGTGTTTCCAGTATGGAGATTTGGTCCTGGTGGTTCGGCAGGCTTGACGAGGTGCACGCAAAGGCAATCAGGCGAAAACGTTTGCGGTCAGGTGGCCAAAACCGTTTTCTGTGCTGCCTAGGAATACTATCATTTCTTACCCATTCGAATCTTCAAGAAGCTGAAAGCGCTTGTGGAATCGTTAATTAGTTTGAAATTTATCGTTTACGGCCTTTGCCACCCACGTAAGTGGCCAGTGAGGCGGGTAATCCACATGCAGCCACACAAGTGCTGCATAACAAGACTACTGAGTACAGACACACTAGACGGATACGGGAGTTTCTAGTGATTTGGGGTAGACCGCCAACTTCAATGGTTGAGGCAGGAACAGTCGCAAGCTTCGTCGCTAGCGGGAGAGCTTGCGACTCTGTTTGGTTCACAACCTTGTCATCATGAACGTTATTCCTCACATTTCGTTATCCTTTTCCCTCCCCAGTGCACGCTCTGCCCCCAAATACTTATATTTATTCGTTAGTATTCTTCGAAGAGTTCCGGGCAATTATTATTAAAACGTTCCGTACATTAGATGTATGCACAGGCACTCTGGGCTAGATTGTCGCCACCTATTTGCTGATGCCTTTTCAAACTAAGAACTAACTACGCTGCATGCATTGACTGTCTTTGTAGTACAAAATTTTCTGACGCGAGTAGCCACATCTGAAGTAATGTTGATCCCCTCTACGGATTTCCTGTGTACGGTATTCGCGTAGCAGGAGGCTGGTCCATTCGCGGCTCAGACAACACTGATCTATCTCGCAACTATTCTCGCATTGATTCGGTTGGGTGCGCATCGTTCTTCTCTTCTAACCTTTTTACACTTCGAAGATCCGCATTGGTTTTTCTGTTCGCACTGTTATCGCGTTTTTGCCTGCCTGGGAAGTGACGATCGATATGGTTCTCTTCCGCTCTTCTTCATACAGTTTGTTTCGACGGACAAAAGAGGATTCCATGGTCGTGTTTTAAACGAGAAGGCAGGTGTAGCCGGCTAAGCTTTATTTTGGCACTTCCGACTACACTTAATAAAGAATCACAAGATAATTGACGGTTGGTCTGTCTGTTCGTGTACCCTATTGATCCCAAAGCATGGCTAGCTCGATACAAGATTGAGTGCGTATGCGCTTGATGTTATGTGCAACTAGCTGTGGATGCTACGAGTGCACAGAGGGCGCGGCTACGGGCACCCCAGCTGTCCCTTGCCCCTGATGTCGGAAAGTCTGGGGGAGCGAGCAAGGGAAGGAGACAGTCATTTTTGGAAGGCGCTAAATAACGTTGTATTAAGTATGTTCTAAGCCGAGAGTTAAGTGTCTCTCTACTCAGACCCTATTTTGAGCATTACCTACATTCCATCTGGCGGAGCGGTCCACGGCATTGCGTCTCCTTGTATCAAGCCAGCAGTACTTTGCAAGAAAGTAGATATACGATTGCACAAACCAGTTAGCATATTCTACTTTACACAATCAGTGTAGTAGAGAGTGACCGAGTGGAGCTCTACCCCATACTTGCCACACGTCTGAAAGATCAACACTGCATATCATTTGCAAGCCTTTTAAGATCTGTTCATATCTGCTCTACTGTCTGACTGGCTGAAGGAGAGATGTCATCGCTCAGGAAAGTGGCAGTGGGCTGTCCCGCGTTGCCAGGAACTGCTGATTTTGATATGGGTTCAGCTGCAGTGGGTGCAGGTCAGAAGAACACTAACTCAATACTTGACCTAATGTGTGTTATTCTGTTCGTAGAATTGTTCATGCTTGCAAGGTTTTCATTTTGCATTGTACTCCATACTTCCACTGCTCTGGAAGGGAAATTTCAAGGGTCTGGGGTCCTTGACTCCTGGAGCTGTCAGCTGTTCTCCATGGCTACCAAAATAAAGCAAAAAATATTTTCTCCTACTAATTCAACGGTCTTCTTAGAAAACCATTTTTATTCTGGCAATTGCCGTGTCTCCCATAAACTGTCTGTTGAGCAGCAACTTGTGCGCTGTTGTCTCAGCTCTACCATAGGGCGCTTTTTTTGGATATGTCGTTGCTATTAACGCCATTACGAAGCTTATAATTGGCAAATTCACATGCCGTAGACGTGTGAAGTACAAATGAGAGTTTCTCCCTCGCCAACCAATTGCTTGTCCTCGATCGTAGCATTTTCATCTTCGCATGCAGTACTATGAGTCAGCCTACAGCAAAACAACCCTCTCTTTGCTTCTCCATTTCATACAGTTCCACTACTTCGATTATTTCCATACAATATCCCTGTTTGTAGCTTCTGCACAGCAGGGGGTCTTGCTTCCCTTCAGAAGCGGCAGTCCCCTAAAAGTGCCATATATTGTGCGAGCTCTCCTCTGCTTGCCATCTGGCTTAATCGGGCCAGGCACAAAGCTAAGACGCATCGGTATGTGCTTCCCACTCGACGGCAAGAGGTCAGATTGGCCATCAAGGTAGCCCAGCTTGTCTAGGGGCCGCGAGGGCTTTCTTGATTTTTGTTATTCCTTTGCGTGAAGGAAATGCCGAAGGCAGAATTTGGAACGCCAAAATGGATGAGCAACAGAATAAAAGCTTCTGGTCTTCAGAAACTGCGCTGGTATTGCCAGATGTGCCAAAAGCAATGCAGAGACGAAAATGGCTTCAAGGTATCACACGCACAACTAGCACACACAGCCTCAGCAGAGGGCTCTGTCATGATGTACGTACAACTCGCGCCATGCTTAAGATAGGCTGATACCGTAGCTGAATTTTCTTTTTATTCCTTCCTCATAAGTCTCTTTCGTCTATTACTGTGCTTGCAGTGCCATCGAATGTCTGAGGGCCACCAGCGTGCCATGCAGCTTTTCATTCAGCGTCCTGGGCAGTTTATGGACGAATTTTCCCGCGAGTTCGAAGATGAGTTTATGAAACTCATGAAGACAAGGTAAATGCAGAAGCACATGCTTTCCCTCTGCGTTCGTCAATCGCTCTTATTGTATTTGCTAATTTTTACATCTGCCATCAAAACCTTTGTTTCTGAAAGGTTTTTGCCTCCTGTTTCCAGTTGCGCCAATGCTTCCTTGTCTGCTCCTGCCTTTCTCTTCATGCCTTACTTAGTACCGGTCGCTTTGGTCCCGCAGAGCTTCTCCCTCCCCCACAGGGCTGTTGTTCTCATTCTTGCATTCTAATTTCTTGGCTGCTACCATAATTGTTAGGTGCTATGGCTGAATTTTGTTTCTCTTACAAACTCAGGTACTGTCGTACGCGAGTGTTGGCCAATACGGTGTATAACAACGTTGTCTGCGACAGGCACCACATTCACATGAATGCAACCATTTGGGTCACACTTTCTGAATTCGTTCAGGTAATGGTCTCTCTTGACACCTACTCTTTCCTGCATTAGGTTGTAGGTATACTTTGTCCGCCAAATGTAATGCCACTAGAGGCAAATTTGCCCATACTGTGCATGAACAGACGCATTAGGTGTGTTTAGCAGCTGGATAAACAGCGTTGTGGTTTGGCCGTTTCTAATATGCGTTTCAGAAGGTACAGCAAATCAAATGGTAGCTACAGCAACAGTCTATATCGATGAGCATTTTGTGCGCAGTACCTGGGGGCGACGGACAAGTGTAAAATAGAGCATACACCAAAGGGATGGTATGTGGAGTATATCGACCACGAAGAGCTAGCCAGAAAGGTACGCAATAGCAGTGCAGTGAATTCTCGTTAAAAATGCGTGTGCAGTGGCCGACATCACGAGTACAGCCAGACTAGCTGGAAATAAGTACATGCAGTCACGTATAGCAAGCTTCATAAGATACAGGGAATCCAAATATACAAGCACGCGAATTCCCCATGGGCAGCTTTACAAATAAACCAAACGTAACGGCGATGGAACTTATGCCGGTTCCCATTGTGTCTTTTCGGCTGTATGGTCATGGCTTGTGAATGCAGAAAGAAGAGGAAAGAAAGAGAAAAGTAGAAAAATCTCAGGAGGAAGCGCGTAGGGAGCATATTCAGGCCCTTGTTGAAGAAGCTAAACAACGCGGCGCCTTCCGAAAGCCAGTGAGACGCATCCTATATCTACTGTTTATATTCCCATGTGTTCTTTTTGCCATTGGAGCTGGTTGGTTGTGTAGAAAGCTGCAGTACACAGTAGCAGTGTCTGCCCACAGAAGAGAGTAATTATGTTCGAAAGGTACTTTTAAATAACTACTGTGTACCCCGTGAATTGGAGAAGGGCAGCGGTTACTTTTCGTGTAACCATATTTCACTATCATTCCTGATTCTGTATATCTCATTTTGCCTGTGTTATCTCCGTTATTATCTTCTTTCTGCCTTCACAATGTAAAACATAGGGCATAGCGTGTAAGCACCTGTGGCGTGCATGACAACTTCAGTGCACAGGAACGTCATGGCATAATCTGTTACCTTTTGCTTGTGTAGTGACGAACAGAATGATGCTGCCGGAACTTTGAATGCTTAGGAATATACGCCGTTGCAGCGAGAGAACGGCCAACTAATTGCTCTTAGCTTTACAAAGCAGCATAAGGAGTCAAGGGACAAGATAAATGCTTTGGAGCAGTTGTACAAACAGATGAAGCATGGTCGAGAGGGTAACAGCGATAGACAGCCAGAGAAACGCAAGGTATGCAAAAGAGAGCAGGACGGCGATTATTATTCTCATGCCCTTGGTATTCTAGTGTCATACTCATGATTCCGTCAATCCTGTAGTGCCTCTGTCATTTGCTTTATTTTCTTCTTTCTGCTTTCACAATCGCGCCCTTCAATTTTTCCCGAAATCTATTCGTCCTGCCTGTCGTGGCTGTTCACTCCATATATACACGCCTTCTCAGTTTACTGCGATGATTCCGCGGGACAAAATCACTCATACTGTACTGTGTGTACTTTTCTTTGTACCTATATGAATTGATGTGTGTCTCGTATATTTTTGTATTTCTTGCACTACGATTTTTCCCATACCATCCCTTGTGTGTACATTGTAGCTATCTGCGATGGAGGCGTTGGCGGTTGAGGCGGAGCACCGCGAGCAAAGGGCAGCGCTTGGTGAAAGCAGTGATTCCTTTGAACAGAGCCACGCTCTCTCATCATCGAAAAGGCGCAATATGGCACAGAAAGGGGATACTGAAGGGGCTTGCGACAGTTCCCACCTGACACCACCTCCACACAAGCATGCTGGTGCAGACTGGTGAGGGTCACTGTCCCACAGACAGGGCATCACACGCACAAGCATAGGCTCTATAGTACCCGGCAAATATAGCTCAAGCTGAGAACATTTGCTTTGAAAACCTTAGAGGCGCCACATTAAGTGGTCAACGATTCAGAGGAATCATAAATTGGGCGAGGGGATCGAAGAGATACATGGAATCTATACTTTAAAGGGAAATATACTATGATATGGTCACAGGTGGATACGGCCAGGAATAGTTGTTAAGGCGATGCACAAAACGCTCGGCGAAGGACAGTACTACAAGCAGAAGGGAGTGGTCAAGAGCGTAGATGGGAGGTAAACCGAAAGGCAGGCGAAAAAAGCACTATGCGGGCGATAAAGGAAGCAGGCTTCGGCAGAGTGTACGAGTTGTAGGGAGTAGGTCATCGCGAAGGCCGCGAGCACTGCCACAGAATATGAATTGTCACTTGGGTATTGTTAGACTCCGGCTAGGCATTGAACTATTAAATTGAGTAGCAAATTCTGCGTGAACATGCGCTTCTGCCTTTTTTGCTTACTTCAGCTAGAAACATATTCGTTTGCTGCTTCACCCCTGGTGACGGGGTTAATCAACTATACTTATGCTCTCGTTTGCTGCCGTAAGGCTCCGCTATTCATGTTGGTCTTCTAGTTGTTATGTATGATGTCCATTAGCATGACCAATGATTGCTTTTTACATTTCACCGTTTACAGGTATTCCGCTGTTTTGGAGATGTTAGAAGGTGGAGCAATACTAAAACTCGACCAAGAGTATCTAGAAACTGTAATACCAGTGAGCCAAATACATATATAAACTGTTCCTTTCTGTATCATCTCATGTAGTGCTATTGTTGTCTTCAATGTCCTGCCTTGGTCTCTCTTTGCGTTTCTCCGACGACGTATACCCATTTTTCTATCGTGCTGTCCTTGTTTGCCTTGTTTGCCGAGAGCATGGGCTCTTTCGTTATAACTAGCAATCGAGAAGAACACATACATGTTTTTGGAGGAGCTCTGTTAACTAATTACGTTCAAGCAATTGAGTATGAGTAATAGTTGTGAGCTCCATTTACTCTGCATTGTGAGTATGGTATGGTATGCCGGCTCAGCCAATCGGAGGTCGCATTTGTGTTGTGCTTGGCATGTGGCGGGGGCACGAGGGTAGACTAGAGCGTCTGGACATAGATTCATATTCAGCAAAAGTCACCCTTGACTCTGGGCCTCTGTTTAAGCTACAACAATACAAAAATGCTTCAGGTCGGTTGACTCTCTAGATGTAGCTTTGCACATAGTATACTTTGTATATTTCAATATTGTTTCATATTATAAACGCGTACACCTTAGTTCGAACACATTCTGTTGTGTTTGTGCTACTGTCAATCTGCGCAGGGGTCCCTGTTGAGGGGCTGCCCTACGAGCACATCTGCAAACTACACCGACAGAAGTGACTCGTTTATTCGGTAGTGCGTAGTGCTTGCAGTGGTGAAGGTTTATCGACACATACGAGGCCACGCTGACTGGATAATCATATTGGATTCTTGGTGTTGCGCAGACAGCAGTTTGCTGTCGATATGGTTATTTGCCCACTCGCAAGTAACGGCAAACGTAAAGACCAGCTCAGGGGAGAGCTGTTCGCCCATTTTCCCCCATCGTTTTTCTTGCATCCTATTAAATGCCAGTTTCACGACACCATTTTGTCACAACATGGATTGTTGCTATAGGCGAAGGTCTACAAACTACTATTCGCCAACATTTTGTAAGCGAATCGGTGCATTCCCTTGTGCTCTCCAGCCAGACAGAGCATCTAATAGAACCTCCGCTGATATATGGTTGGAGAACGTTGGACAGATGCCACCGCGGTCTCTGCGTATTTTTCGTAGTGCCATCTCCGCGCCCGTCCCTGAACGTACCGCCACACTACTGGACGACCAGCTTGCAAATGATGCGACGCTTACACCAGGAATATTACACACTTTAGGATGGGTTGAGCGCCGTCATTTCCAGAAGAGCAAGGCTTTGGTTTGTCATGCTTTCGTATGAGGGGGGCTGCTCTGCTTGGTAGATGTCCGGAAAGATGTGCGACAGGTCATATGGGTTCATTATTCTCCTCCGCCCCAGACTGTTTGAGCCTTGCACTTCGGTATTTTCATTCTCCATGGTCATCTGCGCAGCCTCAGGGAGGCTAGCCCCGGGAGGGGTGCCGGTGTCTGGAATGTGCGCACTTGGCGTCGGTGGCAAGGAACGGGCTGAATAGCGGCGGTCAGGTTCGGCGGCTATCCCCATGTAGCTGCTCGTGCTGCGGCCTGGCTCGCTGATCCTGGTAGTCTGGGGGTCCCGGTAAACTACTTCGGGCAACCGACTGAGGTTCGCTGGGCTCGTGCGACTAAGCCTATTAGGCCCGCTGCGCATGTCACTGAGCTGTGAAGTCGTAACATTGGTACTCCTGGCGATGAGTGGCGGATATGACCCACGCTCCATAGATGGGGTGTTTGAAGGTGAACGCACACTTTGGTAATCAGTGTTTTCTGCAAAAGCCGGACTAGCATGGAAGGTGTCTGTGTACCCTGGCTGTGATAATCTATTCATTCCAGCGTACGGTGGAAGTGACATGCTACTTGGTTGTGGCTGGCTTATTGTCCTCTCCCTGGGGCTCATGCTAGGGCGCCCAGGCCAGCTGTTGGCGCTACCGTCGTAGTAAGTCGGGAAACTACTGTTGTTCTGAGGATCGAGGATGGTCGGAAACGACATCCTTGAGCTTTTCATCAGTGTCTCTGGCCGGTTTTGTTGCAAAGAAGTCCTGTTTATTGGATTTCTTCTGTTTTCATAGGCACGCATTGCGTTTGACAATTCCTGGACAGAGTTCCACTGTCGACTGGTCCAGTCAGGCTCAATTGTTGGCTGAAGCTCTCTATTCATCAAACTAGCCGTTGAAGCATAATAAAGGCTTCCGTTTGAGGCTGCTTGACCAGTGGTGAAGCAGACCGGAGCCACTAATAAGAGTGCCAGTAGGGCATTTTTCAGTCCGGCGGTTTCCAGAAAACGACGACCCCTGCACAAATGCAAACGGCGCACGATAAAATCATATGCATGTGTTAACCCTGGTGATGCGACCTAAGTCACATTCATGTTTGCTACTCAGAGTTGCCATGAACTCGATAGACGCCGTACAAGGTGAGACCCCTGCGCTGGACTGCTAGAACCTCTTTGAGGGTATTCTCTCGAGAATGGTCAAGAATCATTTATTTTGCACAAATACAACATAGTACAATAATTTTTTGCATCAAGCCCTGTCTGTTGTGAGGAAAAGCCCAGGCACTCCAGGCGATGGGGTAACGCATCATCCTGTGTGACCTTCGCCAACTGACACTCACGCCATTTCGTAAATGACTTGATTGGACATGAAATAACGAAACCAAGAGAATTCAAAAAGGTATTAAATTTCTTTATTGGGAGTAGTGGTTAGCTGCTTGCTGCAAGAGCCTTCAACCTCGGAGCAGTGCTACGGGATGGTTTCTTTTGACACATCGTAACCGTGTTGGCTTCTGAATCGGCAATACCATGGGGATGCCTGTCTGCTATGTCAGTAAATGAGGCGCCCTGAATAAAAGCTGCAATATGGCAAATATATGTAGCACCAGTGTACTTGGTGTAAAAGAAAATAAAGAGTTGGGCCAGGATACATTGGACCAGGTGGCCGACAACGGCCTAAACAGCCAACAGAGTGATCGCGCAAAAGGAAATTTGTTGGTACCATAATATATATTAAATCACAATCAACAAAATATGGCAAAAAGTGTGTGAAATTCGTTTGATTGGGTGGTTTGGTTTGAGCTTAACGAGCCGATGCCAGGCATTAGACATTGCCCCTGTAGTGTCCGCCCCAGGACATTAGCTTTGTAACAGCGCGAAAACCTTTATAGCAAGACCTCAAGCTGGCTCACCAGTGCCTTTGGCACGTCCCTGTAGCCCCGCAAATGAATGCAAAGCTTCCGTCGTTGCCCGCAGCACGGCTTGCAGAGCGTGCTCAAACGCCGCTGTTAAAGGGGTTGATCATCTAGCCCTCGCTGCTGGCACTATACCTTGATTCCTACAACCCGAACAGAAAGTCAAGCGGGCGGCTATTTGTTTTCGTCTGCTATTTATCGAGTTGGCACCAGAGTTATGCTAGCGACTGCCGATGACCTCGGTTTTCCGACATAATCTGCGGAGTGTTTTGTTACATGGCTCTGCGTTTGCCACAACGCTTTAGATTGATTCCTTTGTCAAACAACATCTCACTCTACTTCTTGTCCACGCATGCGATTAGTAAACTGGCACTTTGCTAATCTTACCTCGATCAAGTCTCTTCTTTGTCGTTGCCGTAGGTTATTGGGTCGTGTACTTGGTATGCCAAGCGTAGTCTCTGTACCTATCAGGAGCGTGTACTTTTCTTGTGCTTCTTGTGTAGTTTCGTTGGAAATAGCCACCTTGTTCGGTCATTGTGTTGAGCCAAGGTGTACTCCAGCGCTCCCTAGTAAACGATGTATTTTCAAGAAAGAATCCGGACAAATTTGACTATTCGGTTCGCCCGCTCGTAAATCGCTGCTGCTTCGAAGCAGAGCTAGATCAATACGATAGAAGTCTATATTGTTAGCTTGTGCGGTAGATGATACACGCAACTCGGTGGGACCGGTCGGGGTTGTGAAAAGCTACATTACTTATCAATTGCTGAAATTCACGGCCCTATAAATCGCAGAGGCCTACAGAGACTCTGTTAAGCTTCACAGGTAGCCTGAATATTTAGTTTTGCAACACTCTCCAGTAGAGCCACAACATCCAAGGGCTACTTGGTTTCCAAACAACTATAGCTGCTGCTCTGCTGCTCAGCCCAAAGCCCGCTAACCCGATTGAGTAGGGCACGCTCAAGAAGTGACGGGTGCCGTTGTCAAAGAAGTTGTGAACAGCCTTGCACACTTTCACCGTCCTCATCGCTTGAGCTCCGCCCCAAAACATAAATCAAGTGTCAACAGAAATGTATCATGAAGTTGCCGAGTGTTTTGCACTAGAGCCCCCCTTTTCCCTGCCCCTAAGTCCTCAGAGTTCTGACACAAAGGGAAGGAACAGCTAAGGCGCGCGGTGTTTTATCCTCTATATATCACGATCAGGTACATCTAATTGCACACAGCATCTGGCGCAAACGCACACAATGCGGAGTTTTTTAAGGGCTAAGGCTGGTTGACATACCCACGGTATTCATAGGTTGCAGTTCCCGATTGGGCTCTTTGACTTTAGCCAAAGACGCAGATGCTGTGCTTAGTTGCTTCAAACCATCAAGTATTCCACCAATTTGAAGCCTTCCCTTCGATTGTTTGATTGCATCCCTGCGGCTACCAGACGTGACATTTGAGGCAAACCCGGTACAAACCACTGATTCAGTAGTTCTTTTCTCAATGCTGGATTGATCGAACTCAAGTTTCATATTTCTTGACGTACCGCTTTATTGTAAGATCCCTCTGCTAACCCTTAGCAGGCCTCCCAATGCTTGCTCTTGAGCTGGTCTCCGCAATACCGATGAATCAAGTCTTGTGCAAAAGGTTGAGCTGTACTTGTCTTTGCAGTCAAGCGACCTCTTCATAAATAGACCCACCTTTGAAGTGCTCTCCAATCGGATAAAAATTGAGTAGCTACCCATCCTTACTGTTGTCATACTATCCTGGTCGGCGTAACCTAATTGAAGCGTCCATATGCACTTTTTGGCTGACAAATCATATTGCCCTGCTGGGCGTAAAGCGACTGCGTTTACAGTTCAGGTTTGCAGGCTGGCCTTCGCCGCCCAAACAGGCGTTTTGCCACTGTCGGCATGTATCGCCACAAGGTTTTTCTCTCGTTTTTTTACTCATGTCGCACAAACATTAGATTATTGAAAAGAAGATAATTGTACTAGACTTAAAGATCTGTTGCAAGGAATCCTGACATTCCACTACATTCACAGCCAATGCACAAGCAAGGGAAAAGCTGCATGAAACCATGTGGTGCTACGAATTGTGGATCCCCATTTGAGGTCTCCGTAGGAAGACAATTAAATCCAGACACAAACTAACTTGATAGAGAGTTATTAAATGTTGAATTTTTGTCCAAAGAGCTCCCACCTTTCCCTGCTCACGCCCATATAAGCTTCCGACATGGAGGTAGAGGGATATCTAGGGTATGCAACAATGCTTTTGAAGGACTCCAGTCATTCATAGCTTGTTTGTTATAGCTTTTGGCACATATGCGCACAACCCTGCGTCTCCTTCAAGCGAGGTATCAGTGCGCTGCAGTAGATAAGATTTATAACAGACATACCAATCGATAGCTGCCTTATGGATTCTCAGCTTAATATAACTAGTGCTATAATGCTTTAAGTAAGGTCTCCGAAGAAAGACAATTAGCTCCCGATTCTACACAAACTTCATGGAACGCAATCGAATTTAGTCAAGAAAGGTCATAGCTTCCCGTCCCCTAGCCTCTCAGGATTTACGACATGAGGGAAGCGGCATCGACAGTGCGTATTGCTGCATCCTCTAAGCACTCCGAGCACTCACCCACTCGTAGCTAGTTGCACATAGCATCTAGACCAGACGTACACTGCATTGCGTCTTCTTGTATGGAGCAATCAGTGCTTTGTAATACATCAGATATACAAGCCCACAAACCAATTGAGTTATTTACAAGCTCTCAGCTAGATATAACTATTGTGGTAAAAAGTGTTGCAGTGTAGCTAACCCCGCTACATCTAGCGGTTAACGGCATGAATTAGGTAGTATTACCCCTAGAGCTAGGGGCGTTGCATGCCTTTAGCGTTTCAGGGCACTCAGAAGCTAAATTCGATTACTTCAGATGCGCGACCGTCTATCCAAGACGTTAAAGAGCACTTCGCACAACTTGAATGGTTGTGGGGCAGAGTATAACTCTAAAGCTTTGTTGATATCGTGTGCTAATGCCTATTGGTTCAGTGTAACAGAGAAATTGAGCTTAGTTATGGGAAAGGATGAAGAATGACCATATAACTAAAACGTATTCTTCAGTTGCCTGTTTGTGACAGAAGCGGCACTGATGCCCACTTCGCCATAATTGGAGAAGCTATGGCCTTCAATATTCCAAACATGCCTGCACACAGCAGTGTACTGAGAGGGAATTTACTATATGCAAGCAGTCTTTTCGTCGTTATTTTGCATAGAGTTGACTGCTCCCCTGAAGCACACGGTCATTTTCAGTAACACCAACACTTTGTTGTCGGTGATGGGATGAGATGCTGGCGTGCAGCAGCTGGCACTGAGAACATGAAAGCGTGGGAACAACAATTTGCCCACGTCTATTTATGAAATATTTGCATCGAAATGTGAAACGGGGAGAAAATTGTCTTTTTCCTTGAGATAGAGTTCACATCAGCGGTTTTGGGAAGGCTGCGCAGGACTGTGTCCGGATGTGAAACATCCACACGCGCACTCGGTCCGCATTGGAGCCCCTCGCTACCTCATCATGTCGAGGAGGCTCAAGGCAGCACCAAAACTTAATTTCGAGATCCATTCTAGGAATAGGCTCTCGCTGGAGCCGGTGCCTGTGGAAGGTCATCGAAGGATAACAAGCTGGCTTAGATGTACGGCGCGTGTTTAGGGTACAGAGAAGCTTCCTAGGGTCTTTCGTATTCTTTAAGGCTATTAGCTTTGTCAAATAGCACTTATTATGCGGGTATTTGGAGATGCTTCAAATGGAAAGAGCGCTGCCAAACCTCAGCTATCCGAAGATTTGTGCCCCCGATTAGGCATGGTAGCTTATTGCATAGAGGATCACTCCGTTCCTACAGTGTTATTCTTATCCCGCTGTGCAGCAAACACCATTCATGAACAGCCTAAATAGCCTGTGTGGCGTGGCCTCGCACACGGAAAAATTACACAAGCAGCACTTCGACAAAAAAGTGCCCTGAGTGCTACAAGGGTGCAGCTGCGCTCAGCTTAGATGCCCTCCTCCCCTCATGCCTGGATGTCTAAGGGGCGTAAGAAGGGGAAGTGACAAATTCTGAGAAACTGACTCAACAATTTTTTGTTCAGTTTGTACTTAAAACTTTTGTGCAACATGTGGACAGACTTTTGTTAAGAGTCAACTGGCCCACTACCCCTGGCACATGGTTGACGTAGATGCGCTATAAAGTTGTAATATGCAAGCTCTTCCTGCAACTTCAAGGACTTGGTGTATGCCAAGATGAAACTTCTAAGCTGCTGAATCATGCCTCGTTATCTGGGTAATATGCTGGATAAGGCATACCTAAGGGATCAAGTTGGGCACTGCTGATAACACTGTATTCGTTAAAAATTCAGGAGGCATGACAGTTAGACCCGTCCGTAGTAGTAAGTCCACTTTTGAAAGTGAAACAACATGCAGGTTTTCAAGCTTTAACAGTGAAGTGAGGAACAGTTATGTACCCTGTTAGCAAGGATCGACGTGTCCACCTCATCCTTGGAGCCACGTTTAATAGGCTTGACGAATCGCTGTAGTAGTTTCAAATCTTATTCATGGTGACTCGGTACGTCACGTATCCGTATTATGGAGAGTGCTCGTGCGCACAGCACAAGAGAAGTTGAACTTATGAATACTTCTTCACATAATTTAAGCCGTATGTCAAGGTATGCTGTTTCAGCGCCCTTATGTTATGACATCTAGATGCTCGCTATCATTTAAACACTGCTCCTCCGTCGGGTTTGATACACAGGTACTGCACAACTGACTATATCCTCTGTATCCTGTTCACCTCCCCCCACAATGCTTTTGGCAATACCTTACAACCAAAACTTTCGATTTTAGGCACGCATATAGGAAATGCGAAGAATGTCGAATACTATGGACACTTGACTCCGAAAGCTCTTAGGGTCCGCCTTGTGAATCGGAACCTAGTTGAGGCACAAATTCCACGAGCTATCGAGTTGCACTGCGGCCCGGTACTGCCATACCGACATTTCACACCATCGTGCCACCAGCACACGCCAAGAAGGCATCGTAATGACGAGGTTCTCGCTCATCCAGCTTTCTTCTAAAGTTCTGGACTGCTACAAACAAGGCTTGTGAATATTGTACCCTCGGCACTGATTGCATCTGGAACAGCCAGCTACTCACTCCTACGCAAATGATTGACAGTTTGCGGTGGCACCATGGATGCAACAGGGTCTTTCTGCAATTAGCGTTTGGCGACAAAAAGCGTGCACACTAGGGACCTGAGAGGTCTTCATAACATGTGCTGCAAGCTGTCTGCCGGCTTGTCCTTTGTAGGCCTTCGACCCACAGAATATGGCGAGTCCCCCAGCGTTTTAAATCAGGGGAGTTCTACATACGCATTTGGAAGCACTGTATGACAACCCGCTTTCTGCATATGCTTGCGTATAAGCCGGTGGCGGCGCAAGGTGAGTATTTAGGTACTCGTAATCTTCTATAAGGCTTTTCAGTGATTCAGCGGCGGCATCAAACACCGCCTTCTCAGTAAACTCAGTGTAATGGTGCAAATGAGCCTGAACAACATAAATACCATCAGCATATCGATGCTATAAATGTGAAAAGCCACTCTGGAATCTAAATGGTAGTCGGAAGAGCGCGGCGCATCGTGCGAAAGCTCAAAACAACTCACCCGCTTAGAGTATAGCTTCATGAATCGGCCTAATACGCGGCTAAAGTGCTGCCGGATTGCACACGAGTTCAGTAGACAAAGTAAAGAGGCAACCTGAAGCCGGATCATTACAAAGAGATGTGCCGTGGGAACGCCCTGAGAGTATTACCCGGTTGTGCGCTGTTTCAACCTATCGAAACTGAGTGTACTATTGGCGCCTCCACGTGTAGCTGTCCAGTGCCCTTAACCTGCTTAGTTTCTCTTTACCGCTCTTGCTCTAGGCCACTGAACAAAACCCTAAACGCCCACCTGTTCTGGCGGAGGAATGGAGCAAATGCCTAGTCGGGTAGAACCTCTGCTGAACAATGGGAACCGAAGATACCTCTTGATCCTGTGGGCGGATTGGGCGTCTATGCAATATTCAGATCATGCAGGCCGCCAAGCTTTTGTTTCTACATCCCGGCAGTTTGATGGGCAACATACCTGTCAAGACGTTGAATAATGTTCCCAATCGGGCACTCCCCCCGAAGCAGGAAAGCCGAGGCTAAACACCTGAGAATAAGAAAAACGTCCCCAGATCAAGCCGTGATTCTCGGGTATACCGCCTTTGTAGTATAATCACGCCTCCCTCATTTTCATGTAAAGTGTTTGAGGAAGCATAAAGGATAGCTTGCTTATATGGCAGCGCCTCACGTGCTGACTTTTGGATGAACATCCAATAGCTGGTGGCTGGGAGATAGAATGTCCAGCATCAGGTCACTGCATCTAGTGGCAAGTCGAATGTCTGAATGGCGAAACTGTGAAGCCCGAATTTTGGCTTCCTGGCTGCGATGAGTCTCCTGTTGTCGATGAAGCTTCGACACCAGAGGGGAAAAGGCGCTGAACAAGAACTGTAGACCCCTGTAGGGTACTAAATTGCTATTTAGGTCGAGCACATCTATGTCCAGCGGGCCGCTGAATCTGACTGAGCTGGAGACAACGCACAACAAGGGAATATACAAAACTTGACTATGCTCTTGCCATGATTAGTAATATAACAGCTGTCTGCGATCAGCATAATACGAGATCAATGAGGAGAAAGGCCTCACGGAACACTTTTGATCGGCAACAATCACGGCAATTAACCTTGTCAGGTGCGCTATCATTTGTGCTGCAGCTCCATTGGCATGTGCAAATGGCATGGCTGAGTCAACGCTGTGTGCTCCTTTGACCTGAACAATGAAGTGCACAATACACTGCATTTACCTTCAAAGCAGGCTACATGAAAGCGTAAGTTCGCATGAAGAATGCTGCTAATTACAAACACTCCTTTTAATTCGTGGCACGATCGTACATATTTTTGTTTCACAAGGGGCCTTCGCTGAGAACGGCTGCGGAAGTTTGCCGTTGCCTATACATCTCGCTTACATGTGTTTGTTACCTGAGATAGTGAGTCGTTGCAAACAGGTAGAACACATGTAGCGTGCTGACGAAGCTCGCGAAGAGCCAATGCAGTGTTGTATGGTGAAGTTATTACATCATCTGTATTCCCAGGACTGACGGCACACACGAGACGTGCGAGCTGAGGGTGAAGATCGGCCATCACTGCAAGAAAACCAGTCTCGACATATAAATGCACAGGCTGCACAAAACTAGCACTCTTGAAAGTACATGTCTTTAAATACAGAAAAGTGCTTGTTGGGTAGAAATACGCGTACTCTCGAGACATTTGGTCCCTAGGCCGGAGCCAGTTCCGCCACCAAGTGAATGGACAAACAGAAAAGCCTGAGGGTACACCGTATTGCTGGTCTGGAAAGCAGCTTGCCTGCCATCTAGCACACAAAACAGCCGCTGGTAGCACAGACAACTGTCCAAACTACTCTACAGTTTTTGCCTTGCCATTGTCACTACGTTTGCCAAAAATGCGGAAGCCTGTAGGTACGTAGAACTTGGCTTGTGCATACACTTTAGAATGGGTCATTCAGTAGTCCATACCCGACCTGGGGGGAATCACAGTCTTCCAGAGCCCGAGAAACTGTATCTGCGATCAACGAACCATGCAGCTCTCCATACACCTCGTGTCCACGCGCCCTGAAAAATGTGTCGTATTGCGTGGACAGCAGCGATGAGAGATCTGGTGCTCAGCAGTTTATTGTACGAATCAGTTTGATTGCATGCTTCTTTCAGTAGACAGAAATATACCTGCTTATGCCACGACGCTCAGAAATTTCGCTTATCTCCATTTGGCTCACCAGTTATTTCCAGATCCAGACACGTCCGTTATTACAAGTGCCTCGTCAAAAAGTGAGCTGAAGGGCCCCCGGAGTAGCCCATGTATGACACCTTCTTCCATGTCCACTAAAAAGGCCTACGCAGTTCGTTACATTACAAGACAGCCATCCCAGCCGAAAAGCTTCAAGTCTTCAGCTAGCTCGCCTTGGAACTGGGGCTAATTGTTGCTCACGCTCCGACAGCCCATATGCGCCTAAAGGACAATGTGGAGTTGCAGCACGAAAACTCTTCCTGTAGTTAGCTACGTACTCGTGCCTTAAGCTGCTGGAGTTGGCCTTCATCTTGCCTGATCAAGTTGAAAAGGAAAGGCAAAGTGGAGTAAAGAACCATTTCTCATTTTAGAATTCTCTGCAGAAATATGGACTTAATGTCAATGAATGGGGGTAGAAGCGACAAAAATAGGATACCTGGTGCTGCATATTTTGAAGATTGACGACATTCCTTCATCCAAAGCGATATGGTCTGTTCCAGCGCCGGAACGCATCCCAAAGGGCAATGCGAGAGTCGTCTTGGGTGGCCACGTGCCATGCTCTTCCAAAAGCACCTGCCAAAGGCGACTCCCTATTTGGTTTCCGCATTGACCAACTTGAAATGTTAATACTTCTCGCGGCATATGCCCGATGAACAGTTCTGCAGTGATACTGCAGACGTTGGAGATGAAGGGCTTGAAATGAAATCTCTACACAGGGTTACACAATATCTCGATCTTCCTGGGAAATAACACGCGTTATATTAATTTGCAATGAAGGTGCTTTTAAAGGGATCGAGTGACAAATTCTTAGTGCACCACAGCAAAGGTTATTGCTGGTCGCACTAATTCGACACCTCCACGTGGCTGGCATCCCTTGATAACGACGGCACCTACAACATCACTTCACCGCCAGAACTATGAGTCAGTTCTGCCGCTAAAATCTTTTGGGGCTTAAAAAGCATGGATAGATGCCACACAGCTTTTTGATACAGTTGGTACTCGGGACAGTCTAGCCTCGTTAGTGGTGTCGTGGAAGTACGGACGTCTTCAACGCATATCCGTAGGAGGTTTCTACCAAGGCCTGTGATACGAAGGTGGTCTTAGGAATAACAATATTACTTCTGCAATCCTTTGAAGGAACTTGTCGTACAAGGGGTCATCGGCACAATCACTGCATGCGCAAGAGGCCCCCTTTCTTGTGGCATGCCTATTAGTACATGCACTTCTCGTAATTCATTTTTCTACCAGCCATGCTTCTGGGCAAAGGAATCGTTTAGCCTTGTTGGAAAATGGTCCTGAGATAGCAGCTCTACGTTGACAATTGGCAAACATGCGGCGGGTGCATTGAATAAGGGAGCACCGTACAACTATTTTCCTTACCTGTATTCCCGTCCTCATGGATATGTGGTCTCCACTACCTTTACTTATACAGCGCTTGCGAATTATTAATCTTTGCAGGTAATCTTCATATACCACAGGCACATCCAAGCGTGTTGTGGACACCTGAAACCACGGTGCTCCAGATAGGGCCTCCATCAGTAGATGCTTACAACCATGCCAAATACAGGAAATACTAGGTTATTCAGTACTAATTCCTAAGACCTACTCCATTTCCTCACCCTTCCCCAAAGGGTTTGAGCATGAGGGGTGTAACAGGCTAAGCTCTTCAACCTTTTCTAGTCCACCATTTGTGTTTACTTTGAGAATGATCATAGAACTAATCAATTGGTTTCGCTGCTCCCATCTTTTACTTGTCGAATTGAAACGCTAGTTCATACACTGCAACGCAAATGTGTTTGTGTGCATGGATTGCTACGTGCAATTGGCTGTGAATGAATATTGTCTTTAGAGCGTGTGCCTACGCGCGGCCTAGCTGTCCCGCTCCCTGTATATATCGAAAGCTTGAGGGATTCGGGCAGAAGAAGCGAGCATATTTAACAAACGATAACTTTGTTGAGCTGGTTTGGTTATTAGTTCACCCTCTCCCTACGAGGATCACGGCTGCAACTTCAAACATACCAGTAGAACACCTCAATGGCTTTACGGATCCCTCAAGATAAAGGCCACAACTTAATAGATTCATTTTTGCTACGCCCCGCTCATTTCCTAGAGGAAAAACGCATAAGCCAAGAAGCGCAATTGTTCTCATGATGAAGTTGCTCTGGCCTGTTTTCACACACCACTATGTGTCCGGGATACGGCTGAAGTGCAAAGCCGTACGTGCTGAAAGTGCTCATGAATGCATCAGCTAAATATGAAGACTCTAGCCATGTAAGCAGCTACACAGCCTTCCTGAACAGGCTCACAATCATACCGACTAACTTGCCTTTGCGGTTCAGCCGAGGCCTTTACACGTCCAAACAGCACACTACTATGCTTGAGTTTGTATGCGCTAGTGTGAAGCTTTATTTTTTGCCCTCATGTAGGTGAATAGGAATTCGTACTCAGGCGTCTTCGGAGTCAGATGCTAAGTAGACTTTGGATGCGTGGAGTCTGTCAAGCAATTCGTCAATATGAGGCGCTAAAAAGTTCTGCTTGGCTATGCAGCAATCTTGTCCAGAAGGCGAACAGTAACCTCTCGTTTTCGATCGTCCGTCCTCTTTCGGCACCAACACTGAATTCATCAGCACTAGTCGATCCCGGCTCTTTGCTTTTCAACAGATCATCCGCCTGCCGCCCCATTTCCTCTACATGCTGTGACGGCTTCGGATGCCGCCGAACATTGCATGAGGCTGACCCAGGGATTAGCTCTATGCGGTGTGCTGGAGGACGACCAGGTGGCCAGCCAGACCGCAGCTCGTCATTATTCAGCACATCCGCGAACCCCTTCATGATATTTGCCCATATCTGGTTTTCCTTAGTTAAATGCTCAATCGAATACTCTAATACAGAATCCTTTTCAGAGCCAGTATGAAGAGATGAATGCTTAAAACCGTGTTTTCTAACTGCGTTGCTGAGCCACCCAAAAGAAGAATCCGCCTCACCTCTTTGTGGCACCCGCTCCACCCCGCTCATCAAAGGTAACATCAACGGTGTTGTGAAAACCAGTGGATGCTTCTTCCTGGCGCTTCCTGGGATACTTACATCCGCAGCGCACAGCTTTGTGCGAATGCATGCATTCCACTGGGTGATTCATGGCATACCTAGGATAACGTCTGGTGCATTGACCCAACCTAATGAACCAGGCTGATAGACCCAATTCCGATGAGTGGTGTTGGACTAGCAGAGCCTCGCCAATACTTGCAGTCTGCCTAATTTTATTTGACCTGAGTCTTGGAGACTACGTTAACGATTGAACAGGCATGCTTCGGTTGTGCATTGCTTCCTCAAATAACAGATCCACTTCACATCCGGTGTCGAGCAACGCCAGCAATTCTTGACCAGTAATGCGAACTTGTACGAGCGCGAATTGACTGGCGCTGGATTTGCATGTATGGCGATATTCTATATGACCCCCTTCATTCACTGCACTGCACATAGCCTGCGTGTGGGGTTCGCCATCTCCCTGATGCCTTCTTCGTTGCTTCCGCCTGGTGAAGTCCCAGTGTTCCAGCTGTTTATTTTTTCCGTGCTCTTGCAGCTCTAAATTACACTATCTAATATCCAAAAATAGGAACAAATGCATTGTTTGGGAGCTGTCTGAGGCTGCCTAGGAACGTAGGTTTCCTCCGGTTTTCCTCCCTCGTCCACTATAGACTTCAGGCTAGGGCCAGTTCACATACCCCCGTCATGCATACGTTGCTAATCCCGACTGGGCTCTTAAAACAAAGCTTTAGCTGCTGTGCATGTTTGCTGCGAAAAAGCAGACAATCCATGATTTTAAGCCTCCTCTCGTCGGTCGTTTTACGCTGATAAAGCATCTCTGCCTGAATGCTGGAATGCACAAACTAAAGCTTCTGAGTGATCAACATACCGCTTTACTGGTAGACGCCTCTGCTAAACCCTTGACAAGCCTCCCACTGCTTGCACTTGAGCTGCTCTCTGCAACACCGATGAGTCAGGAATTGTACAAAGGCTGAGCTGTAGTGATCCGTGCAGTCAAGCGACCTACTCTTTGTAAATAGAGCCACCTCTGGAGTGATTCTCCTTCTGGTGAACAGGTTGCAAGAAGCGCTCTTTTCTCTTCATCTTGGGGCTACGAAAAGAGGTACATCTCCAACCGGATAGAGAATTTTTTGAGTAGTCACCCATCCTTACGGCCGTCATACTATCCTGGTCGGCATAACCCCATTGATGCTTCCCTAACCAGTTAACCGGCTGACATATCATGTTGTCCTACCAGCCGTGGAGTTACTGTCTTCACAGCAGGCATGAAGGCTGGCCTCTGCCGCCCCCGCAGGCACTTTACCACCGATTCATCGCCAGCAAACACCTCTTTACTAATACAATTCAAAACACTTACCGCAATACAGAAAGCCTAATTGTAGTATGGGCCCCCACAATTAACAAGCCTTTTTACAACTACAAGCACTGCAGTGCTTCAGAGGAACGGCGAGCTTTCTGCACAACCAACATCTAAGGACTGATCGTTTGTTCAAGATTGTCCCTCCGTGCACTATTGCGTGCACGCCAAATTGGACCTTCAGGGTGATGGCTGTCTCATTCGCCTTGCAGGCGGCACTGCCGCTTCTACCACAAGCAGTTTCCTTTACCCTGTTCTTGACTTCTCTGTGCTCTGAATTCTTGCCTATATTTAAGCTCAGTTTTTTTTCTTTTGGACTACAGAGGAATAGCAGTATATTTTTTTAGAAGGTCCAGAAAGCGTCTTCCTTTACAACTACTGCAGCCTCGCAAAATCCCTGTCAGCTTAATACACGGGCTCGCTTGCATCTGCACTAACTTTACAAGTTGAATACCCTGATAGACAATGGGCGTGCAGCATCCATAGTTGCTTTGTGTCAGCGTGTAGAGCGTGCCTCCACGGCAGACAAATACAGGTTTACATTCACTTGCCAGTTCACCATGGGTTACAGTGAGTGGTTGCTAGCTTGAAACTACGAAAACCAATGTTGTGTCTCTGTATGCTTTTTTCTATACGCCACTAGCTATGAATGTTTGGTTTATTTAAAGGGAGCAACAGCGCGCCCTGAGTGTCACTCTTTAATCATGCTGGAAGCTTGAAAGGAGTGTGCAGGGAAGGAGGGAGCTCTAATGGCAGGGCACGCAGGAAGTCTCTCTGACGTTTTACCCTGTTTCTGGATTGAGCTCCCCCCTCCAGCAAGCAGCACACACGAACAGCCAAAGTCAAAAGTCAGTTTTTCACTGATCCTGAGTCACACATATCTAGGGTAGTAAAAAGTGCAAACGTGTAGCTTGCCCGGATGCAACAAGGACTTTGCGAGTTAAGTAAAAGCGACAGCGCCGTTACTCTCTGGAGCTAAAGTTGTACACATATCCTCTCAGCTGATCAACCTGCAAGTAACTATGGCTACAATGTTGATACCAAAACCTTTCCCAACTATTGCAAGATGTGGTAGAATGCTATCTTCTCGACTACTGCCGAACTTTAGCGCGGATAGGCATGCGTGCAAAAGGTAGGTCTGTGAGCGCCCTCAGGGCGGTACTAGGATCTCAAATGCCTTGGATCATAGTAGGATTACTTATTTGTTTCTGCATGACTCAAATCCAACTCATACCGCCTAGCAGGGTGGCAATCGCCTGTACCCATGTGGATGCGACTTCAACTAACTCAATAGTGGCTACACATAACTGACTCAATTGTGGCTTATTGTTATACCAAAAAGAACATCTGTACAATCTACCATGGTAAAAACGCCAGAATGTCCCAGCTTTCGCAAGTTAGTAAATTCGGAAACAGGAATGGGTCAAGCGCGGAAGCATGGCAGGATAGCTAGGGTTTTCCTCTTCCGGAAAATTTCTGATGGAGAATCAGCGACGTTGCATGCAATTAGGGTCACTTGCCGTTTACAATTGTGCAATCTCGCAGTACTACTACCATGCCTACAGCAATGGTAGCTTGGGTGGCTGGTCTCGCAATGAGGCCTGCTTGAGCTGTTCTGTGCCCCGCTGGAGTAGTGCCCTAACCTGTACAATTCCCTATAAAGCCATGACCAATGACTTAAGGCAAAGTGCCTGATGAGCTCGGGATGCTATGTTCAGTTCCACTAGAACAGATCACAGGCTGTCCGTGCCGCCAGAGGCTTTCGATTGTTAATTTCAGAAAAATCCGCTACTACCTTCTGATGCTCCTCAGCATAGTATTGTGCTGCCCATGTGATATTATGACTTCAACACCAAGGAAATTAAGTGCTGCTACTCTGAAACTTCGTCTCGACGGATTACGCTCTAAGATTTTCTGAGCAAAGGGAAACTAGGACATCCATGACATTTAAAGTTTCCTTTTAACCCTTGTATTTGGCTCCCAGCGTCAAAATATATTGCATGGTTTTTTAAAGTAGATTCTCCAAAGCATTGCCGTTTCAACAGGGGCCGAATGGCGCAGGTCGGGTTTAGTAAAGATGGCCAGTCGTGTTGCTTGAACCGAAAAAGGACCATTGGCTACCTGCAGGTGTGCCTAAAACACATGGAAAGATGCTTATTCTCTCTCCAAAGACACGGTAAGGATTGTGTTGCAAGCTCTTCAATGCCCTTTCGGAGCGGGGTAGAAGCAATGCAAGGTTAGGCAACACCAAAACTGGTGCTGCAAGCCACCAAAAAAGCGCCACATAGCGTAGGAAACCAGTACACCGGGGCCAGTGCGTTGAAATTCGCAAATATATGAGGCCACGAGCGTCATACAGGTGGGATGTATGACAACACTCTTCTGTCATGCCTGCTGTATGAGCATGATAATTCAATCAAGCTACGTACGGTCAACCCTCATCAGGTAGCCTGTTGCTTTGTCTAAAACATTTTAAGCAGGCTCAAAATGGTTTTACAATGGAGTCAGGCTCTTTCAATAGCATAGAGGCTTCTGCACACAAACTTGGATGCGGGGCACTCCCCAACGTTGTGGTAGTCTAAACTAAAGCAGGTTGGTATCCAAATGATATGAATGGCGATCTGGCTTTGGTGTATCTTGTATAATAGCTTGATTTCCAAGAGTCTTCCGGTAAGCTCGCTTGGCTCCTTGGTTTGAGACTTATAGTGACGTACAACCACCCATGCGAAGGTGTATGCATGGCAGACTCAAGAAACCGATGGTGCATCTTTTGTCGAGGTACCTCACATAGGGTTCTCACTCTTCCAAAAGAGCCTTCTTAGAGTCTTCTTACTGGGGATGAAGCCTCGTCATGTTCCTTATTGCCTGAATTTCTCTGATAAGACAACACGCTGGGGGCTTGCAGCATGTGGCGCATTGAAGTAAAAACGCACGAGCTAAAATCACGTTTTTTAAAGACTACACTCCTTTCTCTTAGGATGGTTTAGCTCTACATGCCATGCAGTCAGCAATTCATTGTAATTTCTCGATTTGGGTCACATAGGTTCAGACTGCCCAAACATTCGGACGCTATGTCATAGCTACTTTCCATACGAGGGAATCGTGTCTCTGCAGTCAGTGGCCAGTGTACATTCTGTCCCTGCAACAGTGCAGTCATAGCCCTTCGGTGGTGCATCTCTGCACAATGACAAGGACCATCTTAGAAGCTGATGCCTTATTACCGAAGATTGAACGGTCCTAGTTTATTCGGCAACTCTATCCGATGGAACGACGTAATGTCTGCATCTTGTGCGCCTCTAACTACAAATGTGGAAAAGGCATCAATGTGCTTATTGCTTCGTCCAGTACGGAAAGCGTCTTAAATAACTTGAAACTCTTTGCAGTGAGATGTTTTAATAGCGTAGAAGGCATCAATGCTTCGAAGTTCCTGTACCTGCTGTTCTTTTTATTTTTGAATGAGCTGCACGTTTATTTCTATAGTTCAAAAGCTTTAGAGATATGTATTGTGGACCTGGATGCTGGAATTGGCATTTTTTCTACGCTGAAATATCCTGGCAAAGGATGAAGGCCGTCCTACGGGAAATAAATTTTTACCCGTGTGCGCGATTCCGACTAAGCCAACTCTCTAGCCAGTGTCTCCTGATTCGCACATGGATTCTTACGTTGCAGATATTCTTCGCATTGTTTATCCCCACCTCTCTGAAAAATTGCGCATGACCTTCAGCGTCCGGTCTTATCATCGTTTGTGTTTCCAGCTGGCACCTGGGATGCACGACAATCCAAGCATGCGCTGCAAGGAGTGTTGGCAGGAAACTATTAATGGTGACAACTTAATTGAAAGCTCACCGCAGAGAGCACTTAAGGGAAGGAAGCTAGACATTCTACCTGTCAAGCGCAGCCTCTTCCATTCGCCTGCGATGCTTCTGCTCGAGCTGCAGAATAAGTATGGCATCCATTTCCCTACGCCGCTGCAGTGCGGCTGTATGCTGCTGTCGGCGGAGTTCCACGGCAGACTCTGCCTCTGCCTTCAGACGATAAGCTTCTTCTTGATTCTCAATTTTAAGTCTTTCCATCTCTTTGAGTCGATTATCTTGTCTACTTGCAATCTGTCAGGGGATCAGAGTGACAAAAAGGTGCGTGATTCTGCGTAGACGGTTACGGCCACCAAACAACAAGTAAAAGCATAATGGAGCTGCCTATGGATTTGGAAATCAAACCTGTTCACGCAGTGCAGCTCTCAGTTCTTCAGCTCTTTTCTGTCTCATTGTAACAGCGCTCCTTTCGCGTAGTATCTTTTTGTTGAGGGCTTCCGTCCAGATTGCCTCGAACACCTTCTCATCCTTCGCCTCCTGGTGCTGCCGTCTACTCTTCAAAGCTATTTGAATCTCATTCTCTGCAAGTGTCTGCAGCCCAGATACCCAATTTTAATGGCAGAAATAATCACTAGTGGAATGGCTTTAAAGAGCCGGGGAGTGGCGTACTAGGGTTAAATGCGTGAGAAATTTCGCTCCGTGCAAAACACTTGCGGTGTCTGGCAAAGTCAGCGCTGTTACACTGCAACACATGGATATTTCCCGATGAGCAAGAAGGTACCCTTTCACTCGCGGATATTCTGCATATCATACATTAAAAGCCACAAATGGGATATGGTACCTGTTGTAGGAGCAGCTTGCTTGACGGCAATTGCAAATCAGCCTGCCCTTGACACCTTTCGACAAGGCGCCTCTGGTCGTCTTTGTCTTGTTCTTGTTCTCGTTTTTGTTTAAGCTCCGCTGCACGTCGGATGATGCCTTGCTTTTTGAGTGCTGCGTTGTGCTGCGACTGTCGGAGTGTTGCCTGTACTTGATCGTACTCAAGCTTTAGCAACGCCTTCAACTTGTGTCTTCTCTCGTGAATACCTGAGGATAGCTGCCGCCTTACTTCTACGACCCGACGCCATAAAGTAGCGTCTGCAGCGGCAGTGTTCTGTCTGTTAACCACACTTGCAATCAGCTGCAGCCCTCGCTGCTCAGCGACTATATCCGCGGCAGCTGTCAGAGAAGCCTCCCGTTGTCGCAACATATCCTGTTCCAGCAGGGCACCTACCACCGCTGCTTGCCGTGATTTTCCCATAGTTATAATCACAAGTCAAACCCAGCACTGACTCAACTCAAGCTGTTCCCACCTGCTTCGATGGCTCTGTGGTATAATGGGCATTGCAGTGCAGTACACCACTTGTGTATCGAGCATAGCAAAATCAAGCCATGCAACTACTACTGCTGCACCACTCTTCAAATGTGGTCATGTCGAGACGTGTCAAGCGTCGGCTGCTTTTTAAGGTTTGAAGGCGAAAAATGGAGTGAAAGGAAGGAAGACAGCATGACACGCTGAAGTGCAAAGGATGCGTATGCGCGCTATTAATTCGGTTACTTCCCCCTAAGTGGTAGCATACAAGAAGTATCGCCCTTTTACTTGAGGGGTAGAAGGCATGTCCTTTGAATCTGAATTTATTTTCTGCAGAACTGGGCGGCATATGCTCGAGTAGCGGACTTCCTGGGCGCCACCGCCTGGATTGATGAAATCCGAGGTACTTTGAAGGCATCCAAATGCGTTCTAGGTTCCTCTTTAAAGTAAGGGTGTCTGGTGTGGGAAACGCAAACACATTACTGTGGCATCGTACAAGCATTCCAAGTAAAATACTTACTCACAAACGACAACTAAGCTACACAGTGTCTAATGGCCTCATAAGCGAAGATATGTAAGGTGATGGGTGTTACAGCAGAGTGCCACGGGAAACCTCTTAAATGGAAAACTCGGCGAATTCAATGCCCCAGCCTTATACAGTTTCCCAATTGCACACTGACAACGGAGCAATGTGCCCCTGAAAAGGCCAGAGAAGAGTTCTGTGAAACATGGAGATCTTTTCCCATATGCCAGAGAGGCGGGCCAATGACTGGTATACACAATGCAGGCTAAATATTAGATAGATTTAGGCATAAGTTGTCACGCTAACCCGCCAGCAAGCCTCGCTGGTTGCGCTGCAGGTGCTCCTCAGTATGGAGTTGACTCTAAAGAGAGTTTGCATTTCCATAAGCAATCACCGTGAAAGCACCTGCTAAATCAGTAGCGAACGAAACTGGTTCGTCCGACAGGGCGTGGCACGAGGCTTGCGTGCACCTAGCAGCCAGCCCCATTGTCTAGTGGCACATGCAAGAGTTAGCCGGGCAGCCCCAATTGTTCGCCCATGTACTGTCCACGCTGAGGCAGCCTATAATTTTTTTTTGGACGTGGTGAGCCAAGTTTAGTACTTCTAGTACTTGACAATCAACATCTTACCCAACACCCTATGTACGATCATGTGGAAACGAAACGCAGTTCACTAGTTTTAGTGGGGCTTCTTGTGTCTGTGCCATGGGGGAATCCTTTGGCGTACAGTCCAGAGAGCATGCAAGAAAAGATTAAGCAGAGAAACCAGGGCTGGCCTGTTTTGTAGCTCAAATAGAGGCCTCGATTCAATTTGCAAATGAAAATGGCCACACACGCATGGAAAAAAATAATGGCTACAAAAAAGTTGAACCTACCCCCAGAGTAGCTCAGAGAGACCAGATCTTGGAATACACAACACAAGGAAAATGTACTTTCCACGCACGTCTAAAGCGAGTGGCCAGATAGCCTTGTCAGCCGACGGACCAGAAGGACCGGCGCTGCAGGAAGAACTTCGGCGCTGTCTGGCAATCGATGGACTCAAGAATAGAGAAAGTGAAACAGTTGCCGGTAAAAGCCAGAACGCACAGCCAGAAAAATGTACTCAGGTTCATCAGAATATTGAGTTGCATCGACAGCAAGGCGGCTCAAGTCTTGTTCCTTCATTGCCTCGTTCTCTGTGCCCCGTTGGCTTGCTGCAACGGTGTGCACCCGCACGGGATCTGAACGAACAATACCTTGAAACTCACGCGATTGATGCGGAGGATCGTCCGGTTCGCTCTAGTGTCCATGCATTGTCTGTTCTAGGTGGTGGTCTCCACCAGCACCCCCAGGAGGGGGATATCCTAGGCAAAAAGTCCGCGCCTCTCTTGTCTGCCCCGACTGCGACAGCATGGCAGGCAGCACGGGAGGCTACGAAAAGAGAACTATGCCAAGCACCAGCAGCGGCAAGCACTGACTATGCCTTAATGCCTCCGCAGTCTGTTGCGCATGTTGATTCGCACAATCTTTCAGCATGCCCCACTAATAGTACTCGAACGTATACTGCCGTGGGAGTTTCGGCAGCGTCCTTTCTTCGAAAATATCAGCGACCCCAACACCGTGTTAGATATAGTGCTCGAAGACATTTTGTAGTCCCTCGCAGGCGAACTTTCGCCACTTTCCGAGAATGGCTAGCCGAGGACCACCAGCCCCCTAGCAAGGCATCCGGACCCCGAGAACAGTTCCCTGCCCGGCGAGGAATATGCCACAGTGCTTCTACAGACCCCTCGAGTGGTTTTCTTTCTGCAGCCATTAAGCTGAGGGCTGCCGTTGAGAGGAGAGCATGCCAGGCTGTTGAGGAAGAAGTACGAGACCTCAGTGTCAGTCATTCAACACAGTCACAGCAAGCTACATACGTGAAAGCCCAACAGAAAGCTCTGGAAGCCCAAACGAACGCCCGAACAAGTCTCGATTGTACCGGTAGAAAGAAATTGGCAAAGGCTGGACCAGCCACTCCCCCTGGCGTGCGAGCACGGGTACGGTGGCCTTTACCCAACAAACTCCAGAAGCATGTGTTTAAGCACACGAGACCAGATGCAGAGAAAAGTTTGTGCACAGCTGCTCAGTCAGCTATCGAGACGGGCAAAGCTATGACTGAATGGAGAAACTCTTCTCTACCAGACATCAGTGGTTACAAGGGGCGAGATGCAATGCACGACAAACCAGATCTAACTTCCTCACTCTGTCACCGGCATGCACAAACCGAAGCAGCCGAATACGCATTCAGAGAAGCCGCAGCCAAAGCAATCAATGCTGCGTCAATACGGCTTACACGGTCCAGTACTGCGCCATCTTGGCATATGAACCGCCCACGTGAACAGCTCCGATCAAGTAACTTAGATTCACAGGAATGGTGCGAGCGTTATTTTGACAGGGGACGACCGAGAGAGAGTCATGCTGATAAAGACGAAGAACAAAAGGTCCCTCTGGATTACCTTGATGGAGCCTGCCTGGGATCGGCAGAAGATGTGATCATGCACACCATCAATCCTCTGGAGGAGGCCCTAGTCTCACTGCAAAAGATAAAAAAGACTGAAAGCTGCACGCTTAGCTTGACCAGCAACCAAGGTATTCGTGATGGCCGAAATAACGGTGAGAATGGTCAACGGGAAAAGCAGCGCTTCCCCGCAGAGGGAGACGCTCCTTTCATCAACATACGAAAGCTGCCTAGCACGCTCTTAGCCGGGACTGAGCCTTCCTACTACGAAGGGGAGCCAAATTTCGGAAAACAGCGAAAAGATTGGGGGTGTTTACAGCATGCGCCGTGGAGGATGAAAAACCTCCCTCTAGAAGATTTTGACGTGCCAGAAGACTACGGAGAGGCCTGCCCTCAAGCTTTGTTGCAACGATGTCACTCGGATCGTCAGCTGGTGTGTCCTAAGTCGCAATCCAGGAACCCTGATTTTCTTCAAGAAACCTACAGCAGAGAGTTTTTTCAAAGTAAGCCTACTTGCCACTCTGATGAAGCGGCATCATGCAGCCTTTCTGAGTCAGTGGCGTCCCCTGTCTGTAATAGTGGAGCCGGCCTAGCTGTGCCAGCCAACCGTCAGCAGGGTCCCAGGAGGACAACCGAGGTCGCCTGTACATTCGAATTTCAAAACGCGAATTCTTCAGGTGGAAGAGGCCATATCACTAATGGCCCCGCTGAACATGAAACAGAACATCTTGAAATCTTAGCACCTGCTCGGGAGAATACGTGGGCAATGTCTGGCGGTGACAATACTTCAGAGTGGATGGCTGACGCAGAAGTCTTGCACTTTGTTGGCACTGCATGGACTCATGTACCCTGTCGTGTACTTCGGTATGAGAGCGACAGCCGGAAATTCGAGGTTGCGCTGCAGGACGGGTCGCTTAAGGCAGTCAGACGGCTGGCACTCCGCTTTCGTTTCGAAACGCCACAGCTCCACAAGCAAAGGCTGGAAGCATGCAATGACAGACGGATGCGTGCTCTGCTTTGCCAGCAGCTCCTTAGGTCGGTCAACAGGTTGCCATCCTCAGCTTTTTCCCCACTTCCTTGTAAAACCGTCAATTGCATTCTAAAAGCAGCTACTGGAATCGAGCGGTTTCGCCATGTCGGGCTACCTTTGGAAATTCTCGTTTTAGCAAAACGTTGCCTGAACGAAAGGTTTCTAGAAGCTATGAAGTTTGGCGCTGTGCTGCATTCTGCTCGACTCTTGCATGCCAAGGGCACACTTGAATCTTATATTGCAGATTCTTATCCGCAGCAGCAGCGACGACGGGTACAGCATCCATGCCCATGTGAATGGAAAGAAGATGGCAAGCTTGTGACGCTACTCAAAGTACTGAAGCCGCTACTCTCGGCTGCAGTGCCATCTTTCGGCAGATTAGACGTCGGAGCGGCTGATTCTTTTCGAAGAGCTCTAGTCCGCTTACGCAAGAGGCCTCTCTTTGCAACCAGCAAGACGTTCAAGGTGGGATATGAGACGAGAGCCACAGTTCCAAACTACACAAAGGCATCATCCTCATACTACAGGCATATAGCCATCGCTCACTTTGCGGTGTGCGCTTGGCTGTAAATGTTATATTGCGGTGCCCACCTTATTTATTCACAGCTGAGCTTACTATTGAAAGGGATATTTTGTGACCTCGGAGGCCTCTCCTTTTTTGACTTACCGAGCCGGAAGCTTCAGCATCTAAGCTTTGCACGGGTGTTTAAAAAATCCGCAATTCTCAAACCATCAGAATGGACTGTAAGATATCTAGTAGATGCCAAAGCGTGGAACCTAGATTACACGATAATCCCATAGCTCAGACAGCGACATGAGGGTTGTTTCTCTAAGGTTTTCATACAGCGCCGCACCAGATTGCGTTCATCGAGCCCATCGGTTCATCCGGGCTAATGACTTGCATTCTTTCGATATTGAGAGTGGAGAAAAAGGAGCACTTTTGCTTGAGCCTGCGAAGTGAGGTGGCTTGCAACACATTGAATGGTAATGCTGCAGAGATTAAGTGGCCCAACCAGGTATGTACTAATTTTTTCTGCGCCGAGTGCGTTTGCAGTTCCCCGATCCGGAACAGTATCTTGTTTACCAGCGTGCTCTGGCCGCTGACGTGGCTAGTGCTTTGCAAGAGATTGCAAGGGATTCTTTGTGCCACGCTCTCATTAGCGCGTTTGCCCCATTGGCAGCGACTGTTGCAGCGAATGGGGCTGGAGCCACAGCTCCAACAGTGAGTTTACAGGGTACTGCAGCCTCTATGCCAGGTAATGCAGGAACAGCGAGACCAAAATCATCCCTGCGCCTCCAGCTAAATCGTTTTAACATCATGCTACAGAGTGATCTCCTGTCGTTTGTCATGGATTCTGCAAACGAGTGGAAAAACTACATGCTGCGGGCACTGGACGAGAAGTTCGAGCCGTTTCTGCAGCAGAGCCCAGCATCACTCCCTGTCCCTGCTCCAGCAGACACGTTTCTTTTAAAAAGGAACATTCCTTGCCTTTTACAGCTTCGTGTTATCATTTACCAAGACGAAGCCATCTTTCACCCATCCCAAGAAGAGCAAGTCAATCTGAAATACACACCCCAGCTGTAACCCCCACGTCGCTGTCTAAACCCACAGTTTCTCCTTTTAATTTGCCTGTGGTGTTGTGGACTACTCCAGAGTAGAGGGCCTTCTCCGGCAAGCCCTTGAAACCATGATAGAAGCAGTTGGCACAATAAACAAGCTTGGTAAGATGCTGGGTCCCTGTATCGACACAGTGACCTAAAATACTGGATAAGCTCCATAAAGCCTCACCTACAGCTAGCTTTACCACTGCTGCATGTAGCTAAACGCATAGCCTGAGGCTTTGTTTCCTCATCCTTGTTTTCATCGTCTCCTTTTGAAGTGCCGGGGTCATATTTGAGCCTTGGTTCCCGGTGTTTGGGTGTCTTGACATATTTGTAGTACTGACGCCTTTACTTTTATCCTTTGGTACTGTCGGCTGCTTCTATTCTTTGTAGCAGTGCCCGGAGCTTCAGAGATCGTTTTTCGTATGCTGAGTGTTTCTTGCTTGTCAACTCTCAGAGGCTGACTTGGTACCCTTCGCCGAGCCGACAGAGGAGCCACTATTGCAGCTATCGAGAGAGGAACCGTTTTTAGTTGCTGCCCGAGAAGCAACGTTCTGTGCTATCCGGGCTTCTCTCGCTGAGGCAGAGCCGCTAAGGAAGCAGCTCGATGAAGTTGCTTGTGCTCTACGAGGTGACGCCTCGCTGCCTTTTAAGGAGAATGGGGGCTTCGATGTACAAAAACTACATTTCATATTACAGCGCTACACAAATGCAGAAACGCAGCTGCAAAAGCTGAGCACGCGCGTTGCAGCACGGATGTTTGTCGTGGATGGAGCAGCTGCTAAGAAGACGTTGCTCTCCAAAGTCCATCAGCTAAGATGTGCTCTCTGCACCCAAGCACTTGTGTGGGTGGAGAATGAAGTGAATTCGCTTTATGATTCATGGATTGAAGCCCTAAGAAGGGCCTCAGCTGTACCTGTCAACGACGAAGAGCTCATTGGCTTAAAAAAATACTTGGCAGAAGTCCATACGGAGACACAGCCCCTAATTACTTGCGGGAAAACCGTTTCCAGCCTTCTAACCGTTCTTGAGGGCTACTTTGTTTTTGCTCCACCGAAGGTGCAGAAGCAGATGTTTGAATTGGAATGCTTCTCTCTGAGGCTTAAGGTGGTTGTGGGTGAAGCTAGTGGCATTCTCGAGTTAGCGAAGGAAAGGGTAAGTTACCACGAGAAAAAACCATTCTGCCTTCTACAGTCATGTACAATCATGGCAACAAATCATTGGTCGATGAACGGATTTTATTACTTCGGGTTTAGTGAATTGTTTTACTGGTTCCAGTCCACATTCTCTTCCGTCCATGAGAGCTGCCCCGCTGTCGCTTTGAATGCAACACAAGCCGCCATAACTCGTATTATTCGAGCAGCTGTGGCTTTGTTGTACGGTTATGTTGCTTACGCTCAAGCAACTGGTTTGCGAATGCAGTTGGAAGCAAGGCGGCAGATAACCGGGAGGCACTTAAAGGTGGAATTCGACGCCCTGAGAGATGACATAGAGGCAGCAGCTGCAACATTTACGCATCTCGAACAGTCTCATACTTATATGCCGCTTCTTGAAACGCTCTGTGGAAGGGTGCATGCTGCCATTACTGAAGTCGAAAACCTGCACAAAGCTGAGGGCATCTTTGGTCTCGAGGCATCACAGTTCAAACAGCTTGAGGCCGTCTGCCTCCTCTCCGGAAATCTGAATGAGGTGCGCTATAAAATTCGATTCGCTCACCACTCTTGTCATGTGCTAACGAGAGAGACAGTAAATGCAGCGAGTAAAGGTGTTCAATGTATACTGGGGTATTTCTATGGGAAACATTACCAAGCGTGTTCATCGTTGAGACAAGCATGCGAAAATGTGTCATGCCTTGTTAATTTAGCTGTGGAAAGCTGCAAGCGACTTCCAGAAGAATCGCGACGAGTGGCTGATGCTGCCTATATGGCAGTTGAGCCATGATGAGGTGGAACAACGGCTGCAGCGGTGGCGCCAAACGGCGTCGGCAGTACGGCGAGTGGCCGGCGTTTTTCAATCTGTAGAGCCTCTTCACGCGTGTGACGAGCTCCTGCAGGCCATCACATCATTTCAAAAGCTCTTGCCACTCATTAAAAGCTTAACACATCCATCGTTTCAGGCGAAGCACTGGCAGGAGCTTGGGGCACTACTAGAGGTCGAACCTCTTTTTCATGGGGAAGTAGTTGCCTTTTCTCTGAATCAGCTTGTTCACCGGGGTTGGTCTAAGGCTACCCAAGCAATTAAACATATTAGTGCTACAGCCTTACGGGAGTTTCACACTAAAGAATACTTGCAGAATTTGCGAGGGGTGTGGAGATCACTGAAAATAGAGTTTGTTGCGCTGGGTCAAGAGGAGTGTGGTCGGAAGACGCTGAAAGGCTTTGAAACCATCCGTTCGCTGATAGAGGAACACCAAACATGTGTGAACAGCTTACTGGACCCACAGATTAGGGGTGAAGTGGACCTACAAACTCGCGAATGGCTTCAGAAGCTAAGCCAGCTCGAGTTTCTGTGCCACTTGTTAGAAAGCTTCCAAGCTTCGTGGGCATATCTGGTTCCTATTTTCGACTACCCAGAGATCCAGCAGAATCTGGGGAAAGAATACAAAGTTCTGACCAAGTTAAGTAAATTGTGGGAGCACGAAGTTATCGGCCGGCTCGCTGATAGTACAAACCTGCTAGATTTTGTTGATATGGACGAACTACCGCATATGCTGCAAGCAGCGAGCAACGAGCTGTCCGCGGTCAAAAAGAGTCTAAACGACTTTTTGGATACAAAGCGGTTGGCGTTTCCTCGTTTTTGGTTTTGTTGTAATGAGGAACTTGTCCAGTTGTTGGCAGACGCCCGCGAAGCCAAACTGCTTGGTCCTCACATACAGAAATGTTTCGAAGGCATCCACTCCTTACAGCTTGATCAACATGGGAAGCAGGCCGAGTCTATGCTATCACATCTCGGAGAAATCATGCCACTTACTCGCCCTATCCAGCTCTTGAAAGATGGCCAAACTACCTCCGTCGAAGAACTGTTCTCAGCTGTGAGCATATGCCCTGCAAAGTGCCCTACACACTACTTGTCAAAACTGCAGAACCCGGAAAGCTTGGTGCACCACCGTCATATCAAGCTGGCTCTCTTGCTCTATGTCAGCCTCGTGTATATTGAACCCGATTATGTCAACGGAAGGAAGAGCTCGGCTGAGTTATGTGCAGATCGAAAGCGCAATGTGCTCATCTTTGCAACAAGCTATGCAATGCGCATGGGAAGAATTTCCTCTGTCTCCAAGCCACGTACTATGGATCACAGACTCGTGCACGTGTTCCCAGGCAGCACTTGCCATTGCACATTGCTGTTGGACTGCCCAGGTAGAAGCAGCGATTCTCCAGCAGCAGCTTCCACAACTTGTGAAGGACCTTCGGCATCAGCTCGGGCAGGTACGCTACTCACTTGATGCAAGATACTGGAAGCACTTTCAGACTGCGATTTACAACATGCAGCCTCTGTTGTGTGTTGAATGCCTCTTGGAACTTTGCTGCAGTTGATGGAGGCTGTTAGAGGACCGTTAAGTCCTGTGACTCGCCTAGCTCTAGCAGCCATGATGACCTTGGACGTGCACTTCCGTGATGTTGTAGAGGAGCTGCAGCAAAGTAGGACAGTATCCATTGGCCAATTTGAATGGGTTTGTCACCTTAGGAGCTACTGGATTTTAAACGGAAACCAGACGAGCGGAGAAGCAGGACATGATTCCCTGAATGTTGAGAAAGGGAGAAACACAACGAAACACAGGCGAGAGTCTGGCAGCATTCTTCACCTCTGCATGCTCGACAGCTGCCTCTGCTATGGTTTTGAGCTCCTGCGTACTCCTGAACGTCTGGTAGTAACACCGCTGACAGAACGCTGTTATCGCACGCTCATGACCGCAATACATTTCCACTACGGTGGTGCCCTTGAAGGCCTAGCGGGAACCGGCAAAACGGAGACAATCAAGGACCTAGCGAAGGCTGCAGGAAAACATTGTCTGGTTTTTAACTGCAACGAAGGCCTAGATGCCACAGCGGTGGCTGCCTTGCTGAAAGGCCTTGCCACAAGTGGCAGCTGGTGCAGTTTCGGCGAATTTAACAGGCTAGAGCTTGATGTCCTCTCAATTGTTGCTCTACAAATATCTATGATTCAACAGGCCATCAGAAGAAGAGCTTCGACGTTTGCCTTTGAAGATACAGACCTCCATCTTAATTCTGCATGCTCTATCAACATTACCATAAACCTTGGATATGCCGGCCAATCGATTATACCGGACACTTTAAAAGCAAGCCTCACACTCTTGCATGCTAAATCCTTGAAGATAGCGCTACACTACTACACGTGGGAGGAATAGTGGCGCTCTGTACCAACAGCCTTTATTGATTGCACTACACCTTTCCTTGGTCCTACCTGTTGCATGTCTAGTTTTAACGGCACCATCATGTCTTGCACACGCAGTACCAGATTGCTATGTTGCTCTAGTGGTCACACAGCGAGTTACTCAAAGCTATCCTGTTTAATACTCCAAGTGACTGTCTATGCTTCCTTTAAATGGCGTGCTTCAGGCGCTGTTTCGACCTTGCACCATGATGATCCCCGACGCAGCACTAATTGCTGAAGTTATACTTTACACTATTGGTTTCCAAGATGCCCATCAGCTTTCCAGAAAGGTACCTCACTTATTAATATGCAATCAATTACGCTAATTGCTAATGCCAGCATGTAATCCGTTATTTAAACATAGGATCTTAAACTGGCATCCCCCTTGCGTCGATGAAACACCACATCATAAAGAAGGGACTGGAAATCCATGGGGAAGCTTTTGACATTTATACTTCCTGCAGATGACCAACTGTCTCCATTTAGCCTCTGAGCAGCTAGAACGGCGAAGCCACTACGACTTTGGAATGCGGGCAGTGGTGGCAGTCCTGAATACAGCAGGTCATCTCTGTCTACATTGTGCAAGGGCTGTGTCGGAATCTGTGTCGAAGAGTGTTCGGGATGGGCTAGGGCAAGGTGTAGAAAGACAGCGATTTGAAGCGATGGTGCTTTGCAAAGCGCTACAGCTAACAAACATACCAAAGCTTCATCCCACAGATCAGATAGTCTTTGATGAGATATTACAAGATGTGTTCAATGACGGTGACATAGCAAAAGGGGAAACTCACCACTCACTCGAGCCATTTCTGAAGAACGCAGCAAGGCAGCTAATGCTTGAACCTTCAAAGAAGTTCATTGAAAAGACTCTCCAGGTGAGTTTAGCAGAAGTCGCCTATCAATTGGCCCTCTAGTAGCTATTATGAGCGTTCGTGCTCCAGATTAGCAGCCATCTACGGTAGGTGCTGGACCATGCAATTCGACTTACTTCTAGGCTTTCAATGCACACTTCCATGCAGTAGAGGCCTTTATAGGACCTTTGTCAAGAACACGCTTTGTAATTTGCTAATTTTTGTTTAATCGAAAATGCACTCAGGTTGTTGATACACTAGAGCACCGCCATGGACTAATGCTTGTCGGTGCTTCCGCAACGGGGAAAACAGCCACCGTGAAATGCCTTGAACTTGCACTCGAGCTACAGTGGGCAGTAACACCTGCTACCGTATCCCTGGGAGCAGAAGAGTCTGAAATTGCCGGGGCAGTTAGTGAACAAGCTAGGTCTACTCACGGTGAGAATGAGAAGTGTGAGACAACTCAGGGCACTAGCGAAATGCGTCAAAGCAATATCAGCAGTACCACCACACGCAGCTATAGTAGTAGGACTGTTGCCACGAGGAAATGCATATGTCACCGCATATTCCCTAAGTCAATCGAAGTCAAGGAGCTGTACGGGTCATTTGACTCGAAAACTCACGAATGGAAAAGCGGTGCTTTAGAGCAAGCGGTGCGGGATGCGTCTAAGGAGCCGAACATCAATATCCAGCGCTGGATTGTGCTCGATGGCCCTGTGGATGTGGTGAGCTGCCCACAGCTACAATAAAGTAGGGTGCTCGGCTAGGACATGCGGTAAATGGAAGCATTGGGCTGCACTTTATCTAGCATGAAAAAACACCAACGAACTGTTCAACATTACCCGAGGGGCCCCTAAACTTATGACGTTAGAAGCATCACCTGCTGTTGCACACATTTGAGCTGAATATGGCATACAAAATTGTTGGCCGCTTTGCGCAGTGCAGAACTCTGCATATGTGTGGTGGGCTTTGCATTGCTCAGAAATGGGTGGAATGTCTTAACTCAGTGCTTGACGAGAACAAGAAGTTGTGTCTAACTAGTGGAGAAGTCGTCCAGATACCTCCTCAGATGGCGTTGCTATTTGAAGTGACCGATTTGCATTGTGCATCCCCCGCAGCAGTCTCTCGTTGTGGCATAGTGTATATCCACCGGGATGTGCTGGACTGGAAGACTCTCCTACGAGCATGGGGTCTTCATTCTCCTACAGCAAAGCTTCTTGGCAATACCCTCGCGGCGGACATCGCAAAGACGCTTTCTGAAGCATTCGAAGTTTGCTGGGCGTTTCTTTCTAAATATGATGGTGGCCCTCTTCAAATAACGCCAAACTGGTAATTTAGTGTACCTCAAAGCGTAGCCTCATGACTTTCTTGACAAAAATGTACGTGCCAGTCGTTTTCCTCCTTTTCGGTTAAGCGGTAGAAAGTTGCATGCATAAGGGTATCAATGCAAGGAATATATTTGGCTACAAGAACAAGATTGCTAGCGATTCCTCATTCTCAGGATGATTCTCAATGTGCTTCGGCTCTTTGAAGCAGTTGTTGCGCAAATCTTCAAGCCTGCCCAGGTGACGCTTCTGTGTCTTACTATAAGACCGCTGTCGCCGTTTCCTCACAGGAACGAGAAGTTACCTTCTACAGGCCCCTCACGATCTAATATCGTGCTCTAGGACATTTTGTGTTGTTTGCCCTCTATTACGTTTATTGTATTTATTGTTTACGGCCCTTTACTGTATCTTCTTGAAGCTGCTTAATTCTTGCGATCATATTTTACCTGTGTGTATTTTGTGTAACACTTGATAGCGAATATATGGTACATGTTTTCCGGTCTGCACAAAGTTTTGCGTGCGAGTTTTTCTTCTTGATGTTCCGCTGGTTTGCAGAATACTGAGGGGAAGGTGGAAAGTTTACTAGAACACTCCCTGGAGGGTGCTTTGGCGTTTGCATTGCTGTGGGGCGCTGGTGGCACGCTCTCCGCCGCTGAACGGCCCGCTTTTGATGTGGCTTTCCGAAGTCTGCACAGCGGCCAGGTTGATGTTTTGGAGCGAATGGGCCTCTTCACCAGCACATCCTCCGAAAAAAATGAAGAGAAACAGCAAACCGTGTCTATACGTCAAGTACGACGATTTAAGCACCATCTTCCCCCAACGGGTAGCTGTTTTGATGTATTTTGGGACTTTCAGCAGAAGAAATGGCACTCCTGGTCATCTCTGCCCGTTTTGCCAGATGCGTGGAAGGACCCACTATCTCGTTTTCACGAAGTGCTCATTGAAACACCAGAAACTGCTTTGTTGGAGTATTTCTTGCAAATCATTGTGGCCAAAGGTTACACACATTTCATGCTAGTGGGGGAGGCGGGGAGTGGGAAAAGCAAATGTATGCATCATATCTTGCAGCGCATGGCCACGGTGAGCCAGCAACAGTACTTCCATCAGTTGCAAGAGCAGGGTTTTCCAGTAGTACTCCAAACACAAGGTCCATCCTCAGGTTTAATTCCCGGTGCTACACCAGCATCCACTGTCCAGAACAGCGCCTTAGGTTTTCTCACGCTCGGTCTTACCGGAGCGACCGCGCCTCGTGGGCTGCAGCAATGGATAGAAGCCAGACTGGAGAAGTGCCACGGGGCTGTCATGCGCCCTTCTGGATTCTCACAAGCTGTACTTTTGCTCGATGATGTTCACTTGCCGGAATTTGAAGAATCCGGGGCTCAACCAGCAGGCGAGCAAGTCCGGCAGCTGGTAGAATTTGGAGGGTGGAATCAACACGGTACCTGGAGGTTTCATCCAATTAAGGGAATAACCATTTCTGCAACCTGCCGTTCCGTGCGACAGCAGCCCCATCAGTATAATAAGCGGCTATCTAGACACTTCTTTCCGCTAATGGGAGTACCCTATTCTCCAGAGTCGTTGCAGACGATCCTGCACCAGCTCCTTTTACTGCGTTTTGGAAAGTGCGCGGATACTGTAGTGGATGGACTTAACAAAGTCGCACTTCTAACTAGGCGGTTGTACACAAAGGTGCAACAACTATTGCCCCCACAGCCATCTCGCTGGATGCACCACTGGACTCCAAGAGACTGCTGGAGGGTTGTACAACGGCTAGCATTCTTGAACAATGTGAACTCGCATACTCAAATACTATGTTGCTGGCTCCATGAAGTGCGGGCAGTCTTCGAAGACAGAATAGCGGCCCTAACCGACGTGGACATCCTCTCAGCCGCCATTGGGGATGTTTTAAAAGATACTTTTCACATTACCATAGCCGATTTGGAACCTGCAGTGCAAAGCCCTTTGATTTTCGCCTTTAGCAAATCTGAAGTGAGGCGGGCAGCAACGGACGATGGAGAAGCAGCTGCAGTGGGCTTCACATTAAACTGTCGGGTGTACGGAAGAGTCACACTTTTGGAGGCACACCAGCTCTGTGCAGCTGGACTTGAGCAGTATTCCCTGCTGTACCCCAAGGACCCACTGAATCTCGTGCTCTTCTCTCATGCTGTGGAGCACGTAGTGAGATGTATGAATACCCTCCTCCATCCCCAGGGGCACCTGTTGCTTCTTGGGATTGGTGGATCTGGGAGGCGATCGTCAGCTCGCCTCGCCGCATTCCTAGCAGGCTTTGAGACTGTGGAGCTGCATGGTCAGGTCCAGTCTCCTTCACTTGTTGACTGGCAACAAGACTTGAAGCGCATCATATGGGCAACTGGAGTTCTTAAAAAGCATCTGTTATTGCTAGTTTCGCCCGAATATCTGGAAGATAAGGAAATTGCCCTAGACCTTTGCACCCTTCTCCAGCTCCGAGAAGTGCCGGATGTTTTGGCGGCTGATGAAAAGGTTGTCCATCTCTTATCCAGCTCTAATAACTAATGGCGCCTATCCTAAGATTTACCGTAATGACAAGACAAATACTACCTCGACTGAATCCTTTGAACCCTTCTAGCTACGCCTGTGCTCTAGCGAGCCTTCCGATTGGCTGAAGGCGGGCACTGTGACGCTAATCACTATTTTCTCAAGCAGTACGTCAATTTTTTCTGCACTTCACCCTTTTTCAGGCAGAAGCCCTTACTGCCTTACGCAGCAAGATCTCCATCGGGTCAGCAGCGGGTAGCGGAGAACTAGACGCTGATGAGAAGGGCGAAAGCATGACTTCCACTTCAAACCCGAACATGGAGCTATTGGCTACAGAGTGCAGGCAGCGCCTCCGTGTCTGTACGTACCTCAGCCCTAGTGACCCCCAGACCCAGATGCTACTGAGGAGGTTTCCTGCTCTAACTGGCTGCTGCACGGTAAACTACTTCCGGAGGTGGTCCGCTGAGGCTCTTCACTCTGTTGCTAGACAAAAGCTTCAGGTGGCGTGTACTGCACTTCAGCAGCAGGAAGCAGTTACAATATCCAGTTGTACGACTCCCAACAAAGACGCAACCCAGCAAGGAGACTCGACAGAGTCTTCTTCATGCACTGATCTGGAAACGAGGCTAGAAAAGCTTTGTGTAGCTTGTACTAGTATTTTCGAGTCAACAGAGACTGTTGCCGAGCTTTACCGGAACGAGCAACGGCGCTTCTTCTATGTGACACCTGCCTCTTTTCTTCGCCTCCTAAATACTTTTTGTTACTCATCTATTAAACAATCCGATTGTCAGCAGAATCAGCAGCACCGTTACAACCTTGGCCTACAAAAGCTGCGAGAAGTGAGCGCCTTAGTAATCGAAATGCAGCACCAGCTGCAAAAGCTTCAGCCAGAACTTGAGACGGCAACAAAGGAAGCTGAGGAGCTTAGGAGGGTGCTAGCCATCAAGCAGGATCATGTCGCTGTGGCTTTGGTAAGCTTACAGGGATCGCGGGATCGCCCAGATGTAAAACGCTCTGGTCGCAATTGGTTAAGCCATTATGCAGCGGCTTACGGCGTTGAGAATTGAAAAGGTACTTCTACGATGCCGACCTGCTCATCCTGTCATATGCTGGCGTATACTTTAGGGGCTTGTAGAGACCCAAGAAAAGGAGTGCAAAAGCCAGGCTGACGCAGTTGCACTAATTGAACGTGAGTGTACAGACCAACTAGCTGAAGCCACGTCTCTATTGTTGGCAGCAGAGGAAGAACTTAAGATGCTTAGTAAGGCAGATATTACCGAATTGAAGAACATAAAAACTCCTCCTGCGGGTGTGGTAAAAGTGATGGAGGCTACAAGCAAGCTGTTAGGAGTACGGCCAGTATTCGTCCAGAGTGTGCCTAGGCAGTCCCGGCAGGCCGACTACTGGCAAACGGGGAAAAAGTACCTGCTCGAGAATAGCCACTTCCTACAGCTTCTTTTGAACTTCGACAGAGAATCCGTTGCTAGAAATGTTATTGCAGCGGTAGCGCAGTATGAAGATGATGCAGACTTTGATCCAGAAGCCATCAAGAAAGCATCTTTGGCAGCCAAAAGTCTGTGCCTCTGGGTAAAAGCCCTGATTGCGTACGATAGGGCTAACCGCTCTGTAAAGCCACGTCGAGTAGCGCTGCAAAAGGCCCAGTCCGAGCTCCAGCTTGCAGAAGCCTTGCTAACTGATAAAGAGAAGGAATTGTTGCGTACTCAACAACATGCCGAAGAGCTCTACAATCAGTACCAGCAGGCCCTTCAGCACTTAGAGACGATTCAGAACAAAGAATACACGTTTAGAAAGCGCCTTACTGTTGCAGAAAAGATAATTTCTGCCGTGGGTGGTGAACAAGCTCGGTGGACTGAAAAGCTTGGCATTATTAAGGTAGCACATGTTCTATCCCATTAACTCGAGATCATTCTGCCACCTGCCTGATCACCCCAAGCCGGAATCCTAGAGCCCTAAAATCTACTCAACATAGCAGTGTATACAGAGGCATAACATTTAGCCAGTGAACAAATCTTTTCGTCGATCATGTAAACAGTAATCCGCTTTCGATCAATTACAGGTTAGACTGAGGGCTTTGCTTACCACCTTGCATTGTGCCTCGATGTTCAGAATCAAATGCTGTGCATAGCTGGGGACGCTGCACTGGGCGCAGCGCTGATAGAATTTGGCGGTGCTTTCCACCCAACCTATAGAGCTAAGTGCCTTGACATCTGGAAAAAGGAGTTGGAAAAGTGTGGCCTGAAAAACACACGCGGTTATTCCCTTGAGCAAGCTTTCGCTAGCCCACAAGAAGCGCAACACTGGATTTTGCAGGGCCTGCCCAGCGACCAATTCTCTATAGAAAATGCCGTTATCGCTCTCAACGCGCAGTTTTGCCCTATGCTGATAGATCCCCATCAGCAGGCAGCCGAATGGCTCGCCCATACGTTTTCAGACATGACAGTCCGTCAAAAACATCCCTCCTTGCGCAGTTCAAACAGCCAGTACACTGCTCTCATAGCACTCTTTGGGTGGCGATATTTATGCAAGGTACGTAACCGAATCCGTTGTGACTGGATCAGGTACTACGAGCGCAAGAGCCACAGTTCACGAGATCCCTGCAGCTTCTGCTGCAACACGGTGCTGTGGTAGTCCTTGAATGCTTTTCTGAGAGACTGGAGCCAGCACTGAGCCACATTCTGAAGTGGCAAAAACAAAGGCAGATACACTTACCATGCGGCGATGTCCTGTACCATTGTACAACCTTCTCTTTGTTGGGAGGGGGGCCCCCCTCCACTGTGGATCTCGGGAGTATGACAGTCGATGTGCACCCAAGCTTTCGCTTATTGCTCAAGACCCCTCTGAACGCACCACGCTTCTCCCCAGAGTTATGCTCTAGACTGACCCTGATCGATTTTTCTGTTGGACTCAAAGGGCTAGAGCAGCGCCTACTTCAGCTGGCACTTCAAGTTGCTGCCCCAGATACCCACACGACATGTCTGAGACTGCTTCACCAGGAGGCGGAAATGCGTGACCAGCTTAGTGCCGCGGACTATAGCATGCTTGAAGCCCTGAGAAACGCAAAAGTAGGCATACCTTCACACTGCAACACCCGGAGCGCCCCCCCTTCCCCCAATCCAGCATCTGTAACACATCCTCATGCCTTGGACGAGAGGCAGCAAAGCCTTTATCTCGGCAGGCCACAAAACTCGAGCCCACTAGACAGCGTATATTTTATTAGATTATATGAGTGCCTTTTTGAAGTAGCTGGTCACAGAATCGCCTCACACTCGCTTCTTTGTATTCGCTTCCGTTTTCAATGCATATACTCTCGAACACCCATTTGAATATGACTGCATACTCACAGGGGGACATATTGGAGGACGCAGAGTTGCTCTGCACACTTCGACATGCAAAAGTTGTAATTGAAAACTGTAATGAAAGGCTCCACGAACAGAAGACTGCCCAGGCAGCTGCCGAAAACACGCTGTCGCTTTATTACCCAGTAGCTCGTCGTGCAGCCGGCCTCTTTCAAGTACTGCAGCGGCTCGAAAGTGCACATCCAATGTACCTCTTCAGCGTCCATATGTTTCAAAAATGTTTCGTCGAAGCAGTCATGGTATAGCATAAAGATAAAATGATAGGCAAAACTAACACTGCTGAATCCTAGCACGTTTTCTCCTATAGTATATGTTGATCCATGCGCACTACAGATCACCTGCTTAATGTGTGGCAAAACGTTAGAATGTAGCAAAGGGCACCTCGGCTTGTTGTGTCTTTCAGGAAAGCTTAGGCCAGTCAAATGCCACTGCACGGCAGCTCAATGCTTTTACGCATACAGCTGACTTAGTGGAAGCAGCGATACGAAGAATATATCGAAGTATCTATCCTTGCCTCTTTGAGAAACACAAGCCCCTTCTCCCAGTCCTCCTGGCATTGCAGTCCATTCAAATGAAAGGCTCAGCAACACCTGAAGAAATTCAGCAGCTATTTGCACCTGTAGTTGGGCAGCAATTGGCTGGAGTGAGCCCTGAAGAGTCACGTGAAGACTCAATAGCGTTCCCAGAAGTCCCAGACATAGCGTGGCCCACAGCCAGCTCTCGCGAAAAACTAAAAGATTTGCAGCTTCTTGGCGAGCCATTTCTATCCGTTGTATCGTCTATGTCACAACGCAATAAGGATTGGAAAAGCGCTCTATGCTGTGCAAACCCGTTAGCTACTGAATGGCCAGAACAATGGAATGGGCGGTTGTCACTGCTGCAACGGACGCTCTTGGTGCAGTGCGTAAGGCCAGAATACCTGTGTAGCTGCCTTATGCAGCTGGCAGAAGCTGAATTGGGCACATTTGTACACAATCCTGAGCCGTTGGGACTGGGAGAAGCCCTGGAGTCAGTCGGATCGAGGACACCGCTCCTAATCTTTTCCGCCGCTGGGATGAATCCCCAAACCGCCCTTCTACAGCAAGCGGAAGTCACACACATGCGTACAAAGTTCGTTACAGTGGCTCTGGGCAGGGATCAAGCACCAAAGGCAGTATTCGGTCAGAACAGAGCTCCTGCACTGGCTTAAGTAGTATAATACCTACCCTAACATGCGCAAACGCCTTGCATATGTATTCAAACCAAAGGTGCTGCACCTTACTTTTGCTCACGTCTGATCAAAACCGTTTTGCACAGTATATTTGCTTTTGCTCGCAAGGCAACCGCATATGTATATGGCTATTATACCCCAACTGGTGGAAGTTCAACCCCTATGTTCGCAGCGATTCGCAGCGGAGTCGAAAATGGCCACTGGGTGCACTTGCAAAATTGTCACCTTCATCTGGGTTTCCTGAAGGAGCTGAGTGTCATAGTCTCAGATTTGGCGACGCAAAATCCACACAAAGATTTTCGGTTGATCTTGAGTGCTTTTCCATGCGATGGCTTCCCCACTTCAATCCTCCTCGTACGTTCTCTCCAGCGGCCTCCCAGATGTACATGCAAAGCAAGTACATGTGTGCTGTGATTATCTTTTCATTCCACACTAGTTATCTGTCCAGAACAGTTTTTAGCTTGAAGGCATTCATCATGTAGAACCTGAGGTCCTCATAGCTCCAGCCAATCTCACTGCTCACTTGTTTCTTCTTACGGCTGCGAATTGTTTTACGTAAATTCAGAGGAGCCAAAAGCTGGCATACGAGCCACCTCGAGGACTGAGACAGAGTTTGCAAAGCATTTACACCGAAGCAGTTCCAGCATGGATAGTATGCATTCTTGCTCTGTAACCTACTTGCCGCAGATATCTGTTCCATTTTAGGGAAACTGCCCTTTGCAGGAGGACTCTTTCGAAAGTTATGTTGCTTTCTGTGGAACTGCTTGTGGTATTGAATAAAGACAAAGAAATGTGACCTATAGCCTGACACCTGCATACCCTGCATACAAGCAAAGCGTTCGTCGCTTCGGCTCAAAAAAGCGTTGTATAATGATGCGCTTGGTGTTTTAGGATACGCACATTCATGCCGATATGCTGAGGCCAGTGGTCTATCGGCTTTGCCTGCTTCACGCGTTGCTGCTCGGCCGTCGGCGTTTTGGCGCACTGGGCTGGGCGTCCCCCCTGGATATTTGTGCGAATGACTTGGCGATTTCGCTGCAGCAGCTTGAGACTGCATTGCCGAAAGGTGAATTGCAGCTCGCACCGTGGAGTTTCTTGCAGCATATGGCCTCAGAAATCAACTACGGAGGCAGGGTCACCGATGAGCGAGACCGGTAAGCTATAGCAACGTTTACTGAACCCTGACCCGCACCCCGACCAAATCCTATGCATTTACGTTTTGTCATGCGTGATCGCTGTTCCCCTACCGTGCATGGATGTCAGTGTCTTTTAGGAAGAACGGAGGCGCATTGAGGAGCGATCTCCTCAGGAGCGTGAATCATGACATTGGTCTATTTGCTTTGCTTTAGGCAGCTGCTTCGTTATTTGTGTCATGAAGCTCTTTCTGAAGACGGGTTGTGGCGGCAAACCGGGCCCTCATGCTTAGACGCCTTTAAAGCACCTGCAGCCAATCTTACCTGTGCTGAAATTCTCGCGCAAATCAAAATGCTTCCCGTCGAAGAGGAACCGCAGGTCAACATACTTAAGAGGCCAAAATTATTGCTAATGCACAGTTAATCAGAGCACTGCTATATTATAAGCAGTGTGATACAAAGAGTCTTTTATAGGCTAAAGTGCTAAGCTCCATCGCTTTGACATTGAACAATCCAAGAAGCTTGCATGTAGGCTTGACGGTGAAATACAGCAGCACAGGTAGAGATTGCCATACTTTCACAGTGTTGTTGCAATTTTATGCAGATTTTTGGATTGCAAGCGAGTGCTGAAATCGCCGTCGCTAGTGCCGAGTCTTTAGAGATTCAACAGCGTCTAATGGCTATACACCACAAGCAGCATGCGAGCACCCCGTTTGACACAACGCCTTCAGGAATAGAGAGCAGCAGCGAGGTTAGGGAGCGTGCTAGTGTCCTACTTGCTCAGCTGCCTCCGATCTTTAACCTGGAGGACGCTGCAGCTTTAAGGAGCCATTCATACGAAAACGCTATGGATACAGCGTTGCTCCAGGAATTAACGCGTTATAATGCTCTAATTGCCATTACAAAAAAAACTCTTCAAATCCCCCAGGTGACACCGATATCGTAAAAGTAGATAACTGTTAGACACAGACTCTGCTTCCTATTTCGTGCATAGTTCGCTGTGTAATATGCACTAGAGCACTCCCGGGTAGAACAGCATTGTCATGCTACAACTTCCTGCAGTGATCTTTTGGCTTTACAGGACGCAGCTGATGGAGTGGTAGAATATACAGACGAAGTCCAGAACGTACACCATTGTATTAGACAGAATCGCGTGCCACAAATCGTTGCAGCAGCGAGCTACCCGATGGCATTTGGTCTGGCTGCATGGATGGCCAATCTCAAAAAGCGTGTGGCTTTCATAAAGCTGTGGCTGCGCGGCCCACCTCCTAAACCATTTTGGCTCCCTGGCTGTTTTAACGCCAGAAGCGTGTGTACGGCAATCCTGCAACAGTTTTCTAGACATGAGGGTCTTAAACTAGATGCTGTAGGCTTCAACTTCTCTGTACTACCCGATAGCGCACGCGAATCTAGTTCAAGTACCACCGATAAAGCGATGCAGGCTGCCGAGGTTTCCGCATCGCATTTTTCACATGATGTTTCGGGGCTTTTTCTACACGGCGCAAGCTGGTCATCCGAGGACAAGGTAAAGCTAGTGTAGAGAAATCACGAGGACCAATTCGCTCTGACGCCTAGTGCTACTGAGTAAACATTTCCACAGAATGAAGCGCGCTAGGTGAAAACCAAGCTTGGTCAAAAAGTAGAAAATAACACTGATGCTGACACTACTGTACTTGTCCTTACCTGTACGTTTGGGCTGCTTCTAATTGCAGTGAAATCGGAGTATTAGCAGCCTGTGGTTATCATTACATGTGTTCATAAACTTAGGCACTAGTAAACCAAGACTACTGCGAACTTTTTTCACCATTGCCGCTATTACGATTTCAACCAGTGTCTCTCGACCGTGTCATTCGCCCCCCCAAATTCTACAGTTGCCCACTGTACAGTAGTTCAAGACGAAGCGGAATACAGACTGCAGCTGGTAAGTGTTTCCTTGAAAGGTCAGCTTTTTCAACTCCTGGACAGCGGTCTGTTCGCACAGCATGTTGCAACTAGGCTTTGCTTTGACGTGGTGGAATTTTTATGGATTCTGTCAGGCTCATTTTCCAGCTTTATTCTCTATATTCCGCTTCCCATTCTGGAGAAGGACTCACAAGCAACTTGGGCAAAGCGTGGTGCAGCACTTGTGGGTCAATTGGACGAATGAAATGCGTAGCCGCGTAATCTGTTACCAGGATTCAAATTCTCTGAAGATTTAAAGGAAGTGGGATATTATTTTGTTGTCGTTTCGAAGCTGTTTGTTGGCATGTCATGTGGTTACACATTGAAGCTTCCGTTAATGGCAATCCTTAGGGCTTTGAGCTCTAACTATAAAAAGGGCTACATTTTGGCATGCTATCTCATATTAGCAGCAAGCGTCAAGCCTACTGATTTGAATGCAGTTCATCAACCTTTTCCTCACATGAAGTCGGCTACGCATTCACGTGTCTGCTTTCCACGTTGTGTACACACAGAATGCCATGTGCCAATAAAGTTGTGTACAATCCAAGGATATTCTAAGAGCAGTCACGATATCAAAAGCTACATGCTTTGGCGAAATAGACCTGGCTGGCTCGCCGCCAGCCTGTGTTTATTTGGGATTCTGTTTGGGCTTCGCTGCCGAGGGCGTTAAGCGCAACCGGTAGTGCGTGGGTCTTAGAATCCGAGGGTCGCTGGAGAGTGACGTTAGTAGATAACAACCAGAACCAAATTTCAATTTTTTTGTTTTACAGTTTTAATTTAAAGAACCTCACAGGGTCGTCTGCTATCACTGAGACCTCGAGATTTACCACTTTACCTAGCAAGGCGACTATTCCCGTCGTGATTAGTACAAATCAACGCCCTTCAATATCGCATTCGAGGATAACCTGGGTGGAGACTTCAGTGTAGAGCTCTGTCAGTGACTGGTGCATTCATGTGAAGCCAGGGAGACAGTGGAGGCACTTGAAGAGTGTCCTTTTCCCCCTTCATGCGAAAAGCATTGCCATCCATGCTGTGGTCATCGTTTATCTCTCCTGGGTGCCTACACTGCAACATCTTGGCGTAATTATGCGGTTACTGCCTTGAGGCTGTCACTTGATCGCTTGGCCTTTATATCACCCAATGCAGCGTTGTACGCGCGATTCTTCCCGTGTATCCAAAAGGCTTCTGCTTTGTCAATGTGGCCCGCACATGTGGATGCTTGCACCTGTAAAAACAAGCTTTTACTGTTGACGCGATTCAATGCAAAAGCAGTCGGTAGCTATATTTTTGTGTTATGGAAGAGATCTAGCTTGCTATGTACTGCACAGAGGTACGATGGGCTAGCCAACCTAGCAGGAGCTGAAATCCATGACCAGGCGGTGGGAAGGATGCAAGCGTCAGCCAAAATAGACTGTAGACCGTCTGCTGAGCTTCGGGATCAGATTTAAGACCATACAGATGTCAACGATGATATGGTAGATTTTAAACTCCAAGGAGCAAACGAACAGAACAGATGCACCGTAGCCTACTTGGCCTGCAGTTTCTTGCGCTCTCTAAGCATCGAAAATGCAGGAGGTTATCTGAAAATTGAGACATCGGGGTTTACCGCACACCTCCTAGCTCCGTTAAAAAGTGCACACGACAAATTAGCGGCAACGAAGGTTGAATTCAAGGACAGTTCGGCTGCACTAATTGCAGTGCTATCACCCTATCAATTTCTTCGTCAAGTAAACTTGATATTTACTATGAAGACATGAACGAAGAGGCTATAGTGCGTGAAAAATAGCCTGAGCTTGCTGGAAGGCAAAGCCTTTCCCTTTTAGCCACAGTTACCGATGGGAGAACAGGCAGTAGCTGACAACTTTCCAGCTGGTGTTAAGCAGCCTATATACGTATAAAGCATCTTCAATGTACAGGCCATCTTTGGGTTTAAAGCCTGGCAAAGAACTGATTACTCAAGCCCAGAAGTAAATTGTTCAAATATGCAATCCGGACTGCCAAACTGCTGCATTCGGCCCAACGAGCTTGAGCGCATTTCGGGGCTCAGGGCAATATCTTAGCTCATGTTTAGGAAATACAGTCACCGCACAAGAGACGCTTAACAAAAGTGAAATTGGGGTCCTTGAAATTTAAGATTTCCAGCAATCCTATGCTCAAATGCTCGTGGGTCTGCGGTTGAAGTCCCCCAGGCCAGGCGCCGGACTTGGAGACCCTTGCAGCCACATCCTGCTAAGGACGTTCGGCTCCATACCGCAGCTCACCAGTAAGAGGCATTCAAAATTCTAGCTGGCTTAAGGCAGTGCTTTATCAAGCCATGGTTTCGCAGTGTAGTTGTGTCCTTGCCATGGTTTCCGGCTTTGGTTCCTGGTTCGGTTGAAAAGCAGCCTCGTAGTGTCTAAATGTGCTCCCCCAAGTTCCTAATATCGTCTAGGGCTGTACCTTGAGCAAGGCACTAGCGGTAGCGCAGCATCCAGAATATAATGCTATCACCAAAGCTTGGATTTCAATGTACACTGCAAAAATCTGATTCTATGCCAAGTCCTTGTTCCTAGCATAACTACAGCGTTCATATATTGAAACGGCGCCTTTAGTGTCGGTCCACACAAGCATAACTACCCCGGTGGATTCAGGATGCCCATCAGAGATGCATATGCTAATTTCCGGTATGTAGTTCGATAGATCTACCCTTGGTAAGCTGAGCTGCACAGTTACCGGGGAATAGTCTGCCCGTAGCGAGGAAGTCAGACGTACCTGCATGCGTGAGGCTGCGTAGGGCAAGCTGAATGGAAGTCGATAACTGAATGGTTGCTCAGAAAGAAGCATCTTTGTGGTTTTGTTTGCACTATCCACAGTCACTCCAAGCTGCATCACCCAATGGCAGTGCCTTGTTTTAGCGCAAGGGGCAAACAATTACATGTAGTGTCTGTGCCAGCCCGTACTCTTTGAAACTATCTGTTCGTCACTGCGCGCACGACAATTTCATGCTGTTGACCATTTTTATAAACTCGCTGCAGCCTTTATATGAGCCCCTCGCTCCCTTTTTTGGACACTATCTCATACACGTGATATAGTACCACGTCCCTCTTTGATGATACTGCATTTAGCCTTCATCCTTAATTTTGAACCCCTTTTACCTACGAGTGCCCTGTATGCAAGATCGCAAGCACTGCTCCGGAATTTGGCTGCCTTGTGGTCCCGCGGTAGCCTAATGCTACGGCCATGGCGCATAGACCTACAGCACATGCTGACTGAACAGGGGAATGGGTCAGTAGACTAAATGGACAGCTTTATGATGGTACCCTACGAAAATGCCCCAGCAAACGTCACTGAGAAGCCGCAATTCGCTTAGGAAGAAGCGCATGCAAATGAACTTCTACATTATGCTCGGATTTTAGCGAAGCGTACGCCTTTGTGGTATTGGAGCCAACGACATAGGCTTAGTTCACGCACCAGCACAGTGCATGCAGTGAATTGGCACTACAATCGCACTTCTAGCTGCCTTTGTCGCAGTTGAAGGCCCTTTCTCAAAGCACTAACACCTACACAGCTAGAGCCCCTGCATGTCCGCAGTCCGCCGAAACCTTGAGCCTCTAATAGTGTTGATGTAGTTGCACGATCATCAATACCAAAACCCATTACACAAATCGAGTGCCGGAGACACTTGTGGAGACTGGCATTATTCTTGACTCTGTTGTGATTGCGTGGTATTCACACATGTACTTGAACTTGGCTAGAAGACTAAACTCAACCATGGGCAGCGTTGAATACTGTACTAGTGACAAAATCTTGTTTTCATATAGGTTATTTGACTGAAGCGATATTGACGCTTACTGGCCTAATGAGGAAGCTACTAACCCGAGGCCATAACTTCGGTTGCACGCCAAATCGCACGGGAATTGTTTGATGATCAGAAAGCGCTGACGAGGATTCTTGTTTTTGGCGGTGGGCTCTGACATGCAGGCTTGCAGTGGCCGACCCAGAGAGCACTCAAGCGCAGCAACAGATATTGGTCCCAAGGCACTCTTTTTGAAGCATTCTTAGTGTTTTCAAAAGGCAGAGTTAAGTTTTTCTTGAGATAGAGTTTGCTAGGAGCTTTAGGAAGATTGAGCAGAGTGGCCTTTTTAGCCAATAAAACGTAAAGGCAGGGGTTTTCCCGTCGCAGTAATTACGTTTGGATAATCAGCATGTTTGTTTGTATATCTCAGTTGTCGCAACAATGTCTTGCTTGATCTCATAAGGATGCTTTGTGTGTGTCCACAGGACGCGACGCATGTAATTTTGAAAGTCTGAGAGGGAGGCAAAAGGGGAAGGCGAATGCGTTCTCGGTATTACATTCAGTAGCTTTATATCGAAGTTGTATTGAGTTTGTTCTTAGTCTGTCGACGGAGAGCCTATATGAAGCGCTATACTGTATTGCATCCATTGCTTCAATGCAGCCGCACGTACACTGGATGTGGATGCCGTGGGGTGACATGTTTCCCTGTAGCAGTCGTCTGGTTGGACCGTACCGTTTGTTAACCCAAAAATCTGAGTTTTTTGTCAGCAGTTGGGGGGAAATTACACTCTGGCATTGCAAGCTGCCCCTGGCGCAGCGCCTGTTCGGACGGCAGAGGTCGCGGTAGCCCCACAGCTGACATAAAGTCGTTGTTTGCTAGCGTATTAAATGCCTATGGGCGTGTCGATGAGTAGTGCCGACCAAAATTGTATGATGACCGTAAGGCTGAGTAAGTACCAGAAGATTTATTCGCCTTCCTTTGTACTCCACAGATAAAGTGAAACAAGCGTTCCGTGCGGCGTCTTTACTGAGGTGAAAAGCTCTTCGTTGGTGACTGTACTCGTGCCGACAGTCCCAACCATCTGCATGGACTACTACGGTTCTGGCCTTTACAAGTACCGACTCATCACACAAGAGATTACTCACAAAGCAGGTGTTCGTCGAGCCTGTGGCTCCTGCAAACCAAAGTTTCACATTTCTCGATGTACTATTGTATTGGCCATTGGTTTTTAGCAGCAGCTCTGTGGAAGCTTTTCCCGAGACAGCGGCAGCCGCAGCCGTAGCCCTACCAAAGGCAGGCGCGCCTGCAGCTGGAAACAGGGAGGCTGCGTCTGTGTGCAACAGCGGGCAGGAATGCTGCAAAGGCATGTGTCTTACTATGCATTTCACAGATATAAAGGGAATTTTTTGATCTGAATTTTGTAAAGCCGGCTGAATGCGTCATCTTCCAACCAAAAGGAGTTTTCTGCAAGTCACTTTCAAGAGATGGTAAGGTGTCTTACGATGAATACCGAAGGATTGGAAGGGTGCCATACGCTAGAAGCCTCCAGTAGCCATGGTCAAAGCTGTTACTTAACGACGATGTGAGGCGGAGGAGGCTCGGGCTTTTCTGGGAGCCTATCTGCACCGGGAGAAAATGCAACTCCAGCAACGCGGTCGTGACGAAGGCCAGAAGGTGGAGCCGCAGCAAGAGACCGTCGCGAGTCGGTATTGCGCTGATACAAGCTCACTTTAACAATCAAGAATTGCTCGTGCCACTTTCGACCCTGGATGCGTAATATTGCTGTTTTCCGAAGATGTGGCACGAATGCAATTTGCCTCCTCTTTCGTTACTAGTCCCCGTTGACTCGTATTTGTTGATGGGCTAGATCTTGCAAGGAGTAGCAGGGATTTTGCAGGTAAGTACAACTTTGTCGGAACCAAGTCCTATCAGCATGAGTCTGGATTTTATGTTGAACCCGTGCATCATGAGCTACTCCTAGGTATGCCATGGGTGACCCAACAGAAGGTGCGTAGGGGGCCGCAGCTGCACGCTGCAGGTGTCACTGTGCCAGGAAGCCCTAGGAAGAAGCGGCTAGTGATTTCCTTAGCGAGGCTTGTTTCAGTTACGGTGAGCTGAGTAGTCTAAGGTGCCTCATTGAGGTGTGGCGGTCTTCACGGATACGGCTCAGCAGAGTAGTAGTAAAAGACGGTTCTATGCATTCATCTTGTTTCGATGGTATGTTATTAGCCTTTTATTAGGGTATTCAGTTGAATTTTTAGCCGAAAAGTATCAGCATTAAACAAGCATCAAGGAGGTGCCCGCCACTGGGCTAGATACGGACTATCTGCCAGCAGGCAGGCCACCTGCTGGTCGTCCAACGCATTGCATTGAGCTCATTCCTGGGTCAAGCCCCAGGTATGTGGCGGTATCAGAAGCCACGCCAGCATTAAGAATAAAATAGATGACAGACGGGTGATTTGTTGGAAAAGCAAGGTACAGGATTCTAGCAGTGCCTTTGGACATAGACCGGCGTCGGTGCCAGAAAACGAGGCAAGGTGGTGCACATGCTTTAAAATTACGATCCTGCACCACATTACTGTGAAGGAAAGTCTCCGATGCTTTTTTGGCGAGTTATCTGACGAGCTAGACGGACCAATGATCGCTCAATGTATGACTTCACAAACGGCCTTCTAAAAGTCCTAATCTACCCGGAATACGGCGCAAAACGGCGTTCCACGCTCGCACTCGCAAACCCCAGTACATCTCCATGTTTTTTGAGGTCCTCAATGCCCCAGCTAAGCTAGACGGCAAGTTAATTGGGGTAATTGTGCCCACTTATGAGAGTGCATGGTTGTCTTGATGGACATCTCCTACTACTCAGCCAAAATGGAAAAAAACACTTCTGTGTCTTCGCATACTACTGCTTGTCCCTCATCAAGCAAAATGCACAACATAGCTGCTGTACATGCCATTGAACAAGAATGCTTGTGTTTTTGGCCTTTCGTGTTTTGACTGCGAAAATTGCGTCATTTCCGGCAAAAGTTGAAGTGATCAAGAAGTGGACTTCACATTTAAACCATGTGCAAGAACGTTTCAATTTTTGCTGCCCTGCACACTATCATTTTTTTTTATTCGCTCGAATCGGTGCTCTATCAGCTCACTCAAAAAACGCAGTCTTTGTCCTGGACAGAGGAGGCTAATGCAGCCACACGGACGGTTTTCGGCAGTATTACAAGGCTTCCATCATTGACAATGCCCGCTAATGAGCATGACCTTTTATAATAGCATATTCTAGTGACGCTGTGGCTGCTTTTGCTTCCTACCAACCGGCTACTTGTTTCCTATAACCTCAAATTGTTGCTCGAAGTCGAGCAGTCCACTGATAGCGAGGGAAGTGTATGCAATGTGTTGGGGGCCTAGAAAGCTGTTGGCACTATTAAAATAGACTTCATTAAACGATCCAAAGCGACCATCAGTCTGTAGTGTATCTTACAATGAGTTTAATGGCGTAGATAATTCTAGCTTTTCTCGCTGGTTTAGGTGCCCCCTGCATGTGCGGCTATGTAGTGTAGTATACCAAGACGCACCAGCCCAACACTATTGTGCAGCACAGCCGCTCTGGTGTATGATGACAGTTTGCAGTGCGTAATGATATACCCTTGACCTTCGTGCATCTGTTAGCATTGTCAAATACCCCCAATGGCAAAAGGTGCTCACAGAAAAGTGCTGCATTTCGTTCCCAGATTGTCTGTAGCTTAGGCGGCACAGCCCTTCCAAGCTCAACTGTTACAAGGCCTTACGTCTACTTAGGGCTTTTGCACTTCTTGCCTATGGACCTCATTATTGGACATCCGGACCCCAAGGGTCAGGACAACATCTACGTTGCTGTTGACAGAAACGGTATCCCCACTTTATTCTGTGCTTTAGCTCTTTCGTGGTCCAGGAAGTCGGTCACCTATCCTTAACTCATGCTTGGGCGCTTCACGGAGTTCCCCAAATCATTTGACGGATAGGAATTCAAAGTTTGCTAGCATATTCTGGCGTGTCTTTATGAATTCTCTGCATATTGACCAGAATATGACCGCTGCGAGTCACCCTGGGGCGAGGGGACATATAGGGCGTGCCAACTATACTCTTCTACAGTATTTTCGACTCTTTGTTCACATGCGTCTAGTCAGTATATATCAGGGATGCGGGAGAGCAACAGGCACGCACGTACCCTGCTTCATTCTAAATTCACTCAGCACGAAGAAGATATTCAAGCAAATCAAGAAGTCCCTCCCAGATCCGGGCGTTAGCTTGGTAATCTGGAGTCAGAAGCCACCCGCGGCGACGAAGTGATTCGGATAACAGCTTGCTAATGCGCTCAAGCAAAGTTCAGAAAAGAGTGGCCCAAACTTTTACAAGCGGCACCGGTTGTGCTTTGCGTTCGTGGGGTTTTGGTCCCGGTGGATCGATAGGCTCGATGAGGGAGACCGGATATGACCAGAAGATATTTGCGGTCCGGTGGCTAAGACTGTTTGGAAGTCTCTCAAGAATCAATGCGCTTTCCTATCCCACCAATCCCTCCAGCAGCTGGTGAAGTCACAGCATTATCAATCCTAGTTTACCTAGAGATCCATCAAGACTCCCTGAGCTATTCCTGGGCGCTGTTGCCGAGGCAACTTGCTTGTGTGGAGGCAGACAGGAAGTACTGAATTCCAGGACTATCGAGCACCATAGACACATTCAAATAGACAGAAGCTTCTAGCAAAATGGGTTTAAAAACATCAGCCTCAATGGCTGAAGGAGAAGCAGTTGCTCGCTTAGTTGCCTGCGCGAAATTTTGTGGCCCCCCTTGCTGGACACGCTAGTCACTATGAATAGCCTTCGTCATCTTTCCTTATGACTTGCCTTCCCAAGCTCAGGCCCTGCCTGCATTAGCTATTCTCGTCTATGGCTACAACATTTACTGCTCTCTGGTTTTATTGGTAGGGCATTCTCTACACTCCTCAGATTTATGTGCAGGTGCTTTCAGATATGTTGCCTCTATGTTCAGCCCTATGCATCTTGTGCTTTGTGGGTTGTCTGTATTTGCATGCAAAGATTGCTCTACGAGACGTGAAGGCACTGTTCGATTTCTGTGCATTTTGAGTTCCTTGAGAAATTTCATTCAGTATTGTTTTTGTAGAAAGAAGCACACACATCTTCGCCGATCCGACGACACCGAGCCATGGCGCCACCGCGGTTACTTCTTCAGGTGATTTGTTTGTTGCTGCATAGTGCTTGGTGTGAGCTGCCGTTTCCGTCCAATCTTTGGCGCTTAGTGCACACTCTGAAAATCCCAACTGCACTTTGTTTAGGCGGTTCTGCGTGCTTGGGGAACAGCGATAGAGCGGGTGCCATTCCTCTCGCATGTGGGTTGTTGGTCTTGAATCATAGATACGAAAGTCTCGGGCGAGTGCTTGAAATAGGGGTAAAGGAGGAAGAGGCCCGGGGCCAAGGTTCACTAGCGTACTTCCTGCTGCACTTCTTATATTCCAGTATAAATTGTAAAGAATCGACAATGTGGTTTTCTGTAGGAATATCCCATTTCCGACTAAGCAATGGTAGCTTGATACAAGAAGACGCAATGTTGTGTGCATATGCATTAGATCCTATGTGCAACCAGCTGCCAACGGTCAGTGCCTTGAGGGTGCAGCTGCGTGCACTCTAGCTCTCCCCCTCTCCTGATTTCGGAAAAGCTAAGGGGCAAGCGCAAATAAAGGAATGAATCCTTTGAAAAACCTTGAAATAATCGCTATTTTCCATGGAGTCTGGAGTCAGGGGTGTTCCTACGAAGATCTTATATAGCGCATAACCCCCACGCTATCCGTTTGCTCTCAAGCTAGAAATCTGACAGGTGGTAAAAGGGAAAGATGAAAAAATTTGTCAAGGATGTTCAGTTATTTTCTATTGAGCATATATTAAGCTTAGGGAGTGAGTTTCACCCCACGGCGCCCATGGATTTGGTTTACACACAGGCACATAGCGTTGACTCATGTAGCATTAGCCCTTATCCTTTTGAAAGAAGGAAGTACAGCAGGCCAAATCAAACACAGAACTACTTTTTAACCCTTAGGCATGTTCTATCACATCAAATGCATTCAACTAGGTGGGGTTTGCCCAGTTACACTTCAGCCCCAAGGCCTCTGCTAGAGCCTTGCTCCATGATGGACTTTCACGTTCTTTCACAGCTATAATACCCATCAGGACATACACCCAAAGCCTTTGAAGGGGTTCTTGTCAAGGTGCCATGCCTTGGTAAAGTTATTGTCTTTATCGTTGCATGCGTGTACCGTCCATTGCCGTAGTCAATGACTTTTGCATGCGCGTACCTGGCAGCACCCATGCAGTGTCCATGCAAATCTAAGCGGATTTTGTGGGTTATCCTGAGAGCTAAAGTATGAAACTATATTTTCCTCAGTTTTGATAATTTTTCTGCCTCATCCACTTACAACTTCTGCCTACACGTAAGCGCGCAGCCAGCATGCTGTTCATTGGATCGCACCTGAGCTAGTCACTACAGTCCTTCATGTGGCTGCTGCCCCTAGTCGCATACCGTCGTGCTAATACTGGGAACTACATGCGCATGTATGACTAATATAGGACGCATTGCGGAGAGGCAGCAACGGTAGTAAGCAGGGAACGTGCACTAGGTGCCGTAGTGATAATTTTTCGGCATTTGAAGCCCACAACCAAACGCAAAATAGGCTCGCTAATTACACTAGCAATCTAGTTTTACTTTGTATGCACTCATTTTACGTTTAGAAGGGGCTATTCGAGCCTTTCTGTGTGTTGTATGAAGCCAACGAGTTACCCACATTCAGATGGAAAACTTCCACCATACACGTCGTGACATTGTAAGGAAAGCATACACTAGGTGAAGAACTCGCTGGCTTAGCGAATCCTTCAACGCTCCTACGTTCTGACGATTTCCATGTATAGTTTATCGCACAGGCCTGAGGCCTTGATGTGAATGCATCATCGTGCACGGTAGAAATCTTCATCGATGTCCCCCAAAAATCTGTCTCCACGGCGGATCGAGGCCCAGAAGCAGAAGCTGTGTGTTCACACTCATGAGGATAAGTGGGGCTCCAGTAGCATCAAGGATACACATCTGCACCAGCATCAGGGCGTGACAAACTCGAGAAGCAGCTTCTGTGGCTCCAGCAAAAAGGGTTACCGGACACCTTCAAATAACCCAGCAAGTGCATTAGCGGGTAAATAAGCATGGCTGCACTCTACTACCAACTAAAGTTTTCTTACAGGGATTCTGTAGCTTACTTTTAATTTTTATTGCGATGATCTTCAATTCGGTCCTCAGGTATCGAATTCTCTTTGTCTGACCGGGAGGTGGTATTAGAGGTGCCGTGGAAGGGGAAAGCTTGGGGTCAAGCATCACTGAAAAATGAGGGGAAAGCAATATTTTTCTTTTCGCTTAATTTACACTACGAAGAACGACAGAACAAGGGTAAAAATCTGATTGTGGAATTGCACGACGGGCTCAGGGACTACTAACAGTGTAATGGTTTCTCTTCTGTTCCACGCACATAACATGGAAACTCGCTGATATCTGCACAAGTTTGGCTTGATCTTGAAGACAACGGAGCATGCTTAAGTCTATAGGCAAGAGAGTATTTGAGTCCAGCATTTTTGTTATGCAGGCTTCTACGCATGGCCTGTTCACGGCGTGGTTCTACCTGGGGATATTAAAATATTGCATTTTGGGTTCCACGCTAGCAACGAAAGGGGGCTCCAATACTGTGACTGGCAATTAGACATATATTCGAGTGACGAAGGCCCCGATCCAGCTCAGTTCACTTCAGTAGGTACGCCAGATGAGAAATTTACGACAATCATCTCCACGGTTGCCGCTGTTGCACCTTGTGTCCGCCCGATAGAACGACTATGGAACCAGAATCATTTAGCCCTCAAATGTCAATCAATTCGAGCAGCAGAATACATATTGCACCTACTCGTGAAGGAGGTAGTTAGGTGTGCTCTCAAGCAGGAAGAACGCCTTCCACGTACGCACTGAAGCACTACGCTTGACACCCTAAGGCGACAGTCCTACAGCACGTACCGTTATTATCGCTACAACACTTCTGTTTCTCATTTCCTAAAGGCAGTTACTGCTTTCTCCAAATTTATGGTGTTAAAGTTTGTTAATCATCACAAGTGTTCCAGCACTGCGCATGGATCTGATGCCTACTTCTCGCTACATGTGCTTGCTGTACTTGCCTTTGCTGCAGGTTTGCGCTTCCCTTTTTCCGGGAAAGGCTTTTTCGGTCTGCGAGATCAGCAACTCAGCCTCGTGCCATCTCCGCCATTCGTGCATTCATCTGCATCGCTGCACAATGGGCTGAACGCACTTCAGCTGACAAAAGCTCAGCAGCTCGAACTGTTGCACTTTCATTTTAATACAGCGTCGGATGGGTTCTCGAAGGAACTGCTTCCAGAAGGAAAAGAGACCGAAGCGCACATACCTACAGAGAGTAAAGCTAACTCAAAAGCGGACACACAAAATTGGGATGTTGCTGCATCAAAGGCAGGCATCAGCGCTTTCGCAGTGCAGCTCCGGCAGCAGGAGCCCTTGGTGCATTCTTCACAACAGCCTCTGCAGCGGCAGGAGTACTCGTGGATTCTTCAGCAGTCCTTTTACCAATGCAATAACGCCTCCCTTTATTGCGAAGAGGAAGAGAAAGTGCAGGAGCTAGCAGCGCTGTTTTCACAAACGCCCCTATACAAAGCACTGAGCACCGCCCTTGATGCATTCCCGATTGCATTGTCGCAGGCGCTAGATCTTGCTGGTATCGTAGGAACCGAAGGTGTGTTACATGGACTGTTTCCCGTTCAACTCCCTTATGACACTGGTTATTGCCCCTATCTCCCAACTTTTACACCCCGTCGGCTGCTTACTGCACGGCAACGGCCTCACTGGTCAGTTATAGCCGGTGCTGGCGTCATTCACCTGTCGCTGTTTGCTAGTAATATCGTACTTGCGGCTGCAGATGAAAAGAGACCGCAGAGTGGGCGGGTTTTAAAGCGTTCAATAAATCGAGGAAGGCACGACAGTAGAACATCAGACGACGGGAACACAAATTCAGCAACAGCACTAGCAGCAGCAGCTGTCACCGCAGTCACTCCTGTTTCTGGAAGAAGCGTTCGAACACAAAACGACCTTCATACAGCTCAACAGATTGCAGAGCGATTGTTACAGTGGCTCCTAAGCGATATTTTTGCCACGGTTGAACCCCAGCTGGCTCTGCACGCAGCAGCAAAGACTACTGCAATCGGAGGTGTCGTTGCTGAGACAGCAAGGCTTCAGCATAGGCGACATCCCCACTGGAAAGCACTTCATCAGCTCCTTCAGCGAATTCCACTTACGGTTTTATTAGACCCACGCGTTACCCACATGGCCGAATACCTCTATAAGAAGCAGGCAATTACCGTCAGAAACTGTATGGGCCCTCAGCACAAGCAGATTAGAGCTCTGTATTAATACCTTCAGTGCAAGTAAAAACAAACTGCAACGGCACTACTACTTTAAAGCGAATGTGCTACGGTGCTGCATGGATGGAGGCTGACTGCCCTGGTACAGGTCAGATGGTCGTTGTCTTGTTTGACGGAAAAACTATGGAAGAGTTGATTCTTTTGCTGCAACAGAGGCCAACAGCTGGACAAAGACTCTGGATGCAAGAGTTGCTGCAGGAGCGCCTACGCTTCCTTGGACGATTGCTACTGGATACAAAGAGGGGCGCCTTGTTGTGTCTGGAGATATCTCCACAGTTCCAGGAACACTTTGAACTTCAACAGCCTCTCCTATTGCAAAAGCTAACAGAAGAGCTGGTTACAGGATATGTTCTCCCAATAATTCTGGCTGGGAATCAACAGCAGCATCTGTTGTCTATTGTCTGTCTCAACACCACAGAAGAGCTGGGCTGCTTGGTAGATGAAGCATTTTCTAGAAGAGAGCAGTGCGCAACCAGCTCTCCAGCTGAATCGAGTCAACAAGGATCAACAGCTGTTCAGTACGATGAAGAAGTTGAAGAGTCAAGGTGTCTTTTCGTCGTCCCCTCTTGGTACCGATTTTCTGCTGCAGCCATGGAAAGGCTATCGAATTTGCAGAACAAAGTCCAAATAAGCTTGTTACTTTCGGCGCCTGAAGAAAGGGCGGCAAATGAGAATGCTGCAGTTATATCAACAACTGCACCAGCAGGCAAAAGCAACTACTTAGCGGTGCAGCGGGAGTTGTCGGAACTGGTGAAAGTGCTTGGCATTAGCTGCGTCGTCCTCGATTCCCCCTCACATGCTATGACAGTGGAACAGCTGACAGCTGAGACAACAGAACAGGATATGGAAAAAGATCCAGCTGGGGCTCTGGCCTACGCTGCCGCAGCACAAGCCAACAGTCCATGGGTTCTACATGTTCCAGTTACAAAGGCGCTTGGCTTTTATGTAGTGTCGTACATTCAGGCTGCTTGCCTGCTGTTAGGCGTTGATCCTCTTACCCTCCAGCAGAGAACATCAGAAGCTATTATGGACTGGAAAGACGAGTCGCAGAAGAGAATTTCTCTCGATGCAGCGATTATTGCAGCAAAGCGCCGAATGCAGCGGCATCTGAAGCCCCTAGCCACTGCTAGAGGTAGCTGCTGCTCTTATGAGCCTGCATCCAACGAATTCCCGCGACGCACAGCAGATAGTTCTAGCGGTAGCACGATATTTACCCCTAGGCCAGATGGACTAGCGAATAATGCCATTCCAGCTGCATTGCCACAGGAAACGCTCCATGTAGCCAGCGCCTTATTTTGTAGTTACTGGGATACTGCGTTCCCAACATCGCCAGGACTTGCGGAAGCTACGGGCACTCCTGCTTGTCAGAGCTCTTTACTCAACTGGGCATCATTGCAGCTACAGCAACTGAGGACGCTTGTGTCAGGGACAATCGTGTCCACCGTCCTGCTAGCAGGCGACCTAGTGAGCCTTATTTGCGGACTTGCACTGAACGGCGACATTGAATTACGCCAGAGTCACCTAGATTTATTACACCAGAAAGGAGACGAGCCGCTTGGTCTAGATGAGAAAGCTGATGCAGCAGCTGCAGCTGCAGCAAAAGCAGCTGCTGCAGATGCTGAGCAAGGCCTGCCTAGGGGATGGCTGAGGCTATGCCAGACAGCAGTAGCACACGCTCCTGAATGTAACATTAGCAGAGGCACCAGCAACATTTTTATGATCCATCCCTCTGTGCGCGGACTCTGGCCACTCCACGATTTCTTGAGGAAGCAACTAGTAGCCCTCTTGGAAATTGGTGGGTACGGTAATGATGACTAGCTGCAGTGTGGAAGCTGATCATTCCCTATTCAAAGCATATTTTTACTTGTGATCTATGCTACAGCGGAGGAAAGAAAAGTCTCAATTCACTTGCCGAGTGAGGTGTTATTTCATCTCCATTCACCACGCTCCAGTGCTGGTGTAGCACCTCTTTCCACTGAGATGCCAACACGAGGGCGCAGAAGCAGTGATGTCGGAACAGGAGCACACCGCAATATTATGAAGAGGGCTCGAAGTGCGTCTAAACCAACAGCATCTGAGGCTTGTTCTGTGGAAGAAACAAAAGAAGGAGTAGAAGCATCTGCAGTTGAAGACATCAAGGAAGCCCCTATGTTTGTGGTGTGCCACCTACCCCCGTCACAACTCCTCTGGGACGTTCTCCGCAGCAGATGCACTAATTTAGGTGAATCGTGTGATGACGTGAGCTGCCAAGGAACAGCAGTGGGGCATCAACTTGCGGAGCAGCCCGCAGACGCCGAATCCATTGGGACATACGTGACACTGACACCGAACGCAATCACAGCAGCAGCTACATTATTTAGAAGACCAAGCTTTTTTTTATGGCTGGGTGCTGGCCTAAGCAGGCAGACGGATGGGTTGGAAAGCCTATTGGATGCTGCACGGATGCCTGACGCTACACTACTCATGATGCAAAGTCTTAGAGCCTCTGACGAGTACATCCGGGGAACAGTGCTTCACAAATAGATAATACAGAGTACATACATACGCCTGCGGGGCTTCAGACTTTAGTGACCTTTGTGGCCCCACGTCATGCTTGGAATTAATAATATCATATATCAGAGAAGACGTAGTTCGCAGACCTTTCCCCACTTTGCTGCAGGCCGCTAGAAGTTGGTAGCCCACTTTCAATGGGAACCTTCGAGTATCAAAGCTCGAGCTCAGACCTGGTGCGTTTTTCCTGCAGCAAAGGATCATAATACAAGTACAATCGTTTCTTTCTACGTATTTATCATACCGATGCTTATCGCATGTGTTGATATAGGTGCCCTTTAAACAAGATAGATCCCCGGCAGCATCCTTCCTCAGCAGTAGCGTAACCAACAGCAATAGCAGAACCTGTACAGCAGATCTCAGTGAAGTGCAGGCAAAGATATGGACACGCCACGTGCTCCTTTTCGGGTCCATAGCAAAAAACAGATGGCTTCTCACTGAAGGAAGGAAGGTGCGAGTGGAGACATTTATTGACGAAAGACCGTTGCTTCATATGTTGCAAGGAAGAAGACTACTGAACATACTTCTGGCCGATAATGCTGTGGAACAACATGATGTGGAGAATGGAGATGAGGCTAATGGATACTAACGCTAAAAGATGATAATATGCGGTAGGGCATGCCAGTACAGCACAAAGCCCAGAGCATTGATAAAAAGTGCTCTATACTAACTCTTGGTCAAGTTTAGTCTTCAGAGTCACGTGGGGCTACAAAATTCCTTCGCAATAGACAGCGTAATCATTCTTTACGTCTACAGACACCTGACTGCCTTCGGCAGACGATGCGTAGCCATATTGAAATGGCGTTTTCTAAACTTTAGATGCTGGAAGTTTGAAGTGTAATACGAAGGCAAGCTATGTAATGTGTCAGGCAGCCGCCCGATTGATGATTACGTAGGACAGACACGTATCTGAAAGAACCCAAAATAGCTTTGGTCCCAGCAGGAGGTGCGCCGATGAACTCACAGTACCAGGCAATAGATCAATGAGCTAAGCTTCAGGCACTCATACTGCACGTACTACAGCTGTGGTGAGCCTAAGCGTAAATACTGACTGGTAAATACAGGCAGGGCTGGGAGAGTGCTAGGCTGTAGCAGGCAGAGCTTGGTAAGCCATATTATACCCTTTAACAGCGCGAATCACAAAATTCCTCCTTTTATTGCAAAGCTGAATTACAGTACACGGAACACTGTGATGCATGAACACTTTTTTTTTCACACAAATAGCCTTGCCACTGCACCGAACATTCGCTGCTGTGATGCTTTCCTAACGAGCATTACTGATACTTGCCTTACCTCCAGAGCGGAAAGCATCCAACCAATGTTGAAAGCCTGTTTCACCAATGGAGGGGGTTACGCAAGATACAGCGCGGGGCATGCTCGGAGAAAGAAACCTGGTATATCGCTATAGTCTATTCCGAAAAATCAATATAAATGCCAGCAGTTTTAGCTTTATAGGCACTCAAAACTGTTACAGAGTTTTTTGAAAGGCTGTTCTTTGATAAAGGAAACACTTTCTGGCCGCTCCATTCCTATACCGCTACAGAGATATATCCAAGCCTAGCGAGCCTACGAGGCAACACAGCACAGGCAATGAAATCGAGGTACAGTGATCTCACTTGTGTGTCGCACATTGCTTGTGAAAAACAAGAGGCGATACCTGTACCCCTATCTGCAGGGACTTCATTCAATACGATTGTGGCTCCAATTGTACGTTGTGCGGAAAGTCGTACCCGTGTCACTTTTGCTGCTTTGTTCAGCAGAGCGCCACCTCCTGGGGTATTGCGAGAGTGGGGTTTCAGCATCAGCCTTAATGACAGAAAATAGCAACAGAACAGTCCTTGCAGTGAAATGTGTTCTAGGCTGTTCTAGAGTGGACTGTTGAGCAAAACATTAATATGTGAAGCCTTGCACGTCTCTGAAAGTCCTGAATAGTCGATAAGTACTCCTTAGCATAGCCAGCCTAAAATAGTGCCCACTGCTAGTAGCAATCATTAAGACCTTGTACGCTAGAGGAATAGTAGGTAATGGCTAAACAGAAGCCCACCTCGTTTGTTGAGTTAGGCTGCCCTTGATTCTTGGATCCCTAGGTGAGTCCCTTAGGCGTAATGGTTTGAAATACTGAAACAACATGCTGTCAAACAAAGTTTTTCCTTATATCCTTTGTTTTGCATTAAGGGAATCACACAGAATCCAGTTGGAAGTGAGCTTAGGAAAACTGAATCATCCATTCTGTTAGCCACTATTTGGCAGGGCCCTCAAATTACGAACACGCACTAGGAACCTCAACAAAGCCCCTAAGAAGCGACACGGCTGTATGTGAGGAGCTACTGTGGTACCCCACTATACCTTTTCACAGGCCTAGACCTCCAACGACAACACATTTTAGCAATGGCGGCTACCTATGAATTTATATGCTGTACCAGACCTCGTAAACACCATACGGTGGAAGGGGTCTTCAGTGTGCGAGTGAGTGCACACGTACGGAGACCGTAGACTCCATGGCTACTCCACTAAACCTACTTTGTAAAAACATTCAAACTCTACACAAGAAAGAATCAGTCCAATTCCTTATCTTTTAAGCGAATGCAAATGTTTCAGAAAAACGACCTTCGAACCGATCAATGTTCTGACGTTTCCACGGTCGCTAAGTAGACTGCCCCATGCCTACAAGTCATACTCTAGCTTTAGTCTGCCGAGTCTTAGTTGCCAGACAACTTTTTGTGTGTCGACCGAACAGTGTTTCGCTTGCCACGTCAACTTATGAAGGCTGTTCGGTCATAGATGCATGTATTAGCGAAGCCTGCTGCGCACAAGTAATGTCAGGGCTTTTAGGCTTACAACCTCCCCAATGGCCGAGTGCGTCTGTACCGCCTTTGCCGTACGTAACTAGCCTGAAACATGGTGCTGCTATTCCCCTACACTTAATGCTCGCCCACAACTAAGCATACTTTTGTTGTTAGCCTTAAATATGTGCCACCAATCTAAAGCTTCATCCAAGGTCTCGGCGGGCAGACGCTCAGCTCCGCAATTAAAATCCACTTAGTCAAAACCTTTGTAATCTTCGTTTTCAAGGTTTGTTTTTTCTGCTTATCTTGTCTCTCAGAATTCAATATATGAGGGGAGAGGGGCAGCAAGGGGGTGTGGACCGGCACACGCCAAGCACATGGACAATTCACAGTTGGTTGCACACAGCATCTAGCGCATATACATGCATGAACTAGAGAGAAGAACACTAAATTTATTTAGACAATTCTTTGCCTGAGCTTCTTTGGCTGAAATTACTCAAGTAGGATTTGCCTAAGTGTAGCCTTCCTATCTACAACTTCCCCCACCCCATTTCAAAGCACACACTCACGTCTTCCATGTATGCCCCTCCGCACAAAACTGGCCGACCGACAGGAAAGAGCTTCTTGCCCTATCGCCATTAGATAGGAAGGTAGGAAGCGTAGCGGCAGCTTAAATAACGGCCAAAAACGGAAAAGAAAACTTTAACGGAAGGAAGGGACGACCACTAGTTAACAAGGAGTGAGAGGCTAAACCCAGAACACTTTGGACAGCGCCCTGGCTCTCAGTAGCCGGGCAAAAAATTGAAAGTGTTGACGAAATCAAAATACATTTTTGGAGGCAGTACTACGCCACGCAGCGAAGAATATCATGCATAGCCATTAGGAAGGGATACATGCTCAGGATTCATGAGTCACGAGCATGAAGAATCTGCCTCATCTAGTAAAAGCATGGACTATGAGCCTGTCAACTTAAATGAAATGTGCCTCAGTAACAAGACCAGTAGTTGCTGCTTCCTAACTCTTTCTTTTGTACTATTCACTACCCCACCTAGATGTAGCCGCATGCGCGCCTTCCATTGTCACCCATGGTATGCCTAGGATTGGGCCATTCTGCACAGCTCCAACCTGAGAGCCACTGACCATGCTGAGAGAACCCACCTCCAAATTCAAGCTGTATTTGCCTACCAAGGCCTTCCCGATTCTTGTCATCCCGCCCTCCAACAATCTGACTCTCTGGGGATTGCAGTAACAAAGGCAGAGGCGCGTTGCACTCCTCTGTGGCTTCTTTGGAAAACAGTTGTACTTCACATCCCGTGTCAAGCCTAGGACGATCTACTCTTTCGTATACTTGTAAGCTTGTGCCACAGCAAAAGTGGCCTGCAATTCGCTCTCGCAACTTTATTCCTCGCAACCGCTCTCAATGCATCGGAAGCTGGTTAGAGGGCATACCGTTTGCCAAATGTGCCTTCCTTCCTCGCCGAGTAACTTGCTTCATATAAACTCAGTCACTTGATTGAGGTTTTCCACCTTGGCATGCCCTTGCAGTCTAGATATGTATGATTCAATAGCCTACAAGGGAAACATATGTGTCGTTGGGCGCCGGTCTGGAACTTTTTTTAAAGCACAGATCTCCATTGGTTTTCTTTTCGTGAGCACGTCAAACTGTATGGGGTAGAGCTGCTTGACCTACCCCGTTTACCCATAATATTCGTACCCCAAGTCTGCCATTTCTTTGTAGCAAAAGATGTAGGAGCTGCACCCATTTGTTTTTGAAATATCAAGTAGTCCATTTGCGGAAAATCTACCGGTCGGTTCTTCAAATGCCAGGTAGCTGCCTTTCTTGTGAGCATTTGGTGCGACACATTGGGTGGGCTTCAGGAAAGCCAATGATGCAGCAGCTGCTCTGAGGCGCTGTGGTTCTTGCAGACCAAACCTTCGAACTCCTCAAGCAGCCTGCAGGTCGGCCGGTGCTTGCTCAACAGGCGTTGTGTAAGGAATTTTCATCCGCGGAGGCGTTCCCCACCGAACGCTTGCAAGAAAAAAACGTGAACTTCAGAGTCTCTCTACACTTCTATCGAAGCTAGACAACTGTTCCAAGGGAACGTGACATTCCACTCTATCCACAGTAACTGGTTGAGCGGGGAACAGCTTCATCGAACATTGCACCTCCACCAGTCGTACTGCTCCGCTGAAGGGCTTCCCAGGGAGACCTTTAGCTGTAAACTCAATCAAACGCTAAGTAAAATTTCTAGCCTCTTTTTTCTAGAAGCCATCTGCTCCCCGTGTCAACGGCCCTCAGAGTTTTCAACAAAAGGAAAGAGGAGAGGGAGAGATGGAGTGCTCGCAGCTAGACACTCGGCAATCCACACAAGTAGACCTGGTGCTATGCGTATGAGCGGTACATAGTCAGCGCAGCTAGCTTTTAACGGTCGGACTGCTTGTACTAGTTTGCAAGAAATAAGATATTGGAGGGATCAAACCATTATGTTAGTCCGCTAATTTCTTACAGATGGAAGACCAGACTGGTATATTCTAATAAAAGTTATCCTGTTTGTAGCTGGCTTGGTCAGAATTGAGCAATTGTCTTTTCATAGCAGTTTCACTCCAGAAGCAGTCCATTTACAAAAGAACTCCTTTTTGCCCCCCAAAAGACGGTCACCCATTCGCATTACGCCATTCGGGGTATGCGTCTCTAGCGTTTAAAGACATGAAGGACGACCGGTAATTTCTGCGTTACTCTTTAGCATGGCTGCTAATTGTAAAAACACAGTTAGAGTGCAAGAGCATCCTAGCTATAGCCCGTCAAAATTTAACTAGAGCAGAGATGCACACGAAAACAGACGAACCTGAGGCTAGCTGTCAGTGGAAGGCCCCAGCAGAAACAAACAACAATTGTAGACTCACAAGCAATAAAGCGAGGATAAGAGAAAGAATACAACAACAAAGGTGCTAGACAGAACACCAGTGACTCGCTGCAAACGACAGCTAAGCAAAAATTTGTTCCGCAGCTAACCCACGCGAGTCTCCTGTTGAGGACTGCCAGGTCTCCCGGGAATAATTCGAAAGGAAAAGCCATTTACTTACTTATAGCACTGAATGAAAATGAGTAGTTGTGGAATGGCAGTTTTGTCTTCGAATACGCTATCTTTAACAAGAAGTGTTTGATGTGCATTACTCATTGTTGCAGGTTGCGAAACACTATACTGCAGGCGGAGTGCTGCAGACAATTTGACTGTATGCAAACTCAAGTCATGGTCGCTTTTTCTAACGAAAGGCATTGCATGAGAAGTGCTGGAGGCAGCCTACCCGTTGGCGGTTAGTGGAGCCATATATCGTCTCACTCCTTTCTGCTGAAGAGACGAGCTGCTGCATGACTTTCAAAGCGTGGTCTCCCCTGCTGCTTTTTCAGGAATCGCTCAGACCTTGATCATACGTGCTAGTGGTCTCTAAAGACTGTGAGAAGACCATTGGTGGTCTGCTACTTTCCGCTTGGCTGCCGAAAATCTTCACTCTCCAAGAGGTTGTTCACATTAGTAGGAATCCTGGTACGGTTTTCTACCCGCACTGTAGAGTCTGGATTCAACTTCGATTTGGTGCCTATGACGATCTACCTCACCCATGGCAGGCAACCAATCCTGTGGTCGAAGCCTTTCCACTGAGTCAGGCCGGGATCACTTTAAAAGAATGCGAAATACGAGATGCTGCACAGTGTAAGAGGAAGCTGGATATTGTCGCCAACTTTGACAATGGATAGTACAATCTTCAGCGACTTGTCGGATAGAGCCTGCAATTTCGGTTTTTTGGAGCTGCAGCCTGAAGCACGCGAGGACCTTAGCTATGATGCCTCTAGGGCACCCCGCTTTTCTCACCCTTTGGTTACTGTAGTACTTCTGTGTGCCTGAGTTTACAGGATGTGCGCTATTGTGCGCTAAAGGATTTGAAGAAGGCTCATGTGATTGGAGCTGGTGTATATCCAAGGTGAATGAGAATGCGCGGATTAGTCACATCAAAACAATTATGCAGAACTATGATATCAAG